GGCGGGTGCTCGGCACCGATCCCGCCGGCAACCCATCCTTCCGCGGCCGGCCCACTGGGCGCCTCGCTTTGGGCGAATTTGAGTCCTGCGGTACCGAGCCTGCTGGTAGGCCATCCTTGCGCGGGCGTCCGACAGGTCGTTTGGGGGTTATGGGCGCATTTGGGTCGACCACTTTGCGAGGGCGACCGACGGGACGTTTGGCTGGTGTTATGGACGAGCCCTCTTGAAGAGTGCCTATATCGATAGCAAAGGGGGTCTGAGGCGTTGATGGCTGTGGCTGAGGGTCGACTTGCATTTGCATAACATCAATGGGCGGCTGCTGTATCTCAGGCTGAGGCTGGCTGGGCTGCGTTGCTAGCGTTTCTTGAGTGCCCGGCAGGCTACTCGGCATGCCTTCCATCCTGACGCTGCACGGCGAGAAGGTCAGCTTTGCTCATTGAAATCAGGCGCAAGCGTGAAGCAGCGATATTCATTGCCATGATGGTAGAATTCAGGATAGTTTGGAGACCAACAAGAGGGTTATGTGGGAATTACTAAAGGGACGTACAAGACCCGTATCACGGAAAATGAAATACAGTAAACACAAACCCTCACCTTGACACTCGCCCGTACAACGGGGTACGTCTCTACGTCTTCGGTCGTACGACAGATTTATACAGCAAGTACTGGCAGTACAAAGCACGGACGGTGGTGGCAGACAAGGCCGGAGCAGGATTACGCACCATTTCTGACTGCGCGGAATTCTCCGATGGCGCGCGATAACATGCGCAAATAGAGCCTCTAACGCGGGTTACGCGAGCGCTACCGAACTCGTCCTCCGTACGGCCGGCATCGCGCTTTGCTTCATCTGACAACTATAATTATCCCAGACGGTATGTTGAAGTGGCACTTCGGAACATGGTTAGGCAGCAGAAATATTGAAATAGTGTCCGTGTCGGCAGGTCCATGATCAGTATTCTGTGGTACATTGCTATATACCCCCCTAACGAGGCTCAACGCCATCGTGAATGGACGGCTGAATACCACCGTCTCCATCATACTCCGGTGGGTCACTCCTAGTCTCTCCATCATTCAGCAGGCTGTGCAATAGATTACCCAATCGCATCTCAAGTCTCCTTTCCAGAGCATATAGCGCCGCATCGTCTCCACCTGGTGCACCGTGCACGACTTCCCTCCCGGCATCAGAGGAGATGTTTGCAGTAGGTTCCCCGGGGATAGCCGAATCTGTGGACGTGGAAACGGGCTGTGTGCGCGAGCGGGTACCAGAGACCTTCTCGGGGTCTGACCCCGTTCGCGTTTGGATGTGCAGCGGCGAATGCAAGGTGAAGGGGTCAGGTCGGGGGTCGACTTCGCGCCTCCTACCTCGATACACGTCCGAATTGATTGTAACGTTCTTACGTAGTGCCTTGTTGAGTCGTCTCCTCCGGCGCACCCACACCCATAACGCACAAGAGAGTGCGGCGACTGCCGCGGTGCCGCCTACAACGGCGCCAACCACGAGACCGGTTGGGAACCCTGCGAGGTCATGAAATGGTGTCGGTGAGGTAGAGTCATGAACATGAAATGCAAGTACCTGAATGTCGCGGAGAAGTCGATTTCGGCTGTGTCGTGGCGGTGGCACCTGCAGTGGGACCAGAGGGAGATGAGACTGAAGAGGCATTTCTGCTCGTATCGAGATTCAAGATTCAGTGATAGTGGCGATCGACCGACCACTCACGCAGAAGATATCGCGAACGCAGCATTCATGACGTCTAAAGCTTCGATGTTTGCTACTGTGTTGTATACCTCCGACTGAGAGAGACCCGCGCGCCACGAGATCGCATAGTCGCCTCCACCTAGATATGCATTCCTCTGCAAAGCGTTCATCTGTCCATGAAAGTCAATGCATGGTGAAATCGCTGAGTCTCAAGTCAGGGTACGAACCTGGATCGTGATGTAGCTATCAATCAGGGATACCAGGTTGGTATTGTGCGGGTTTCTCAGTCTCGCTTCTAAGAGACCGCGTATCAAGATCCCTGCGAGCACAGTATCGTATTTAATCGCCGATCCATATCGCTGAGTTCTTTGGTTGCGACCATACCTTTCGAGCAATATGCGGCATCTAGAAGTACGTGAGCTCAACTGATCCCTATGATCCCAGACAAGAGAGCGTACCTATCGTCAGGATCCCATCGGTGCTGTGCCAGGTGCGAAAGGATACGACGGCTGGTATGAGTTCATTCAACCTGAGATGACATTCGTATTCAACGATCGCAAGCAGACTCCCACTCTTTCGCACGCACATTTGAGTGTACGTAGCATTCGACGTGAGGTTCGCCACGATGCTCAACCCCTCAATATAGAACCCTACGTCATCTGCTGTAGCAGCACCCGGGTTTACAACCGCACAGGACACTGGATCGAATGTGCCCGAAACGACTGCAGAGGCGTTGCTTGGATCCACCATGTACGTTTGCATGAAACCGATGGACTGTTCCGAGGCAGAGAGGTAGGTCGAGTTGCGCGTGATCTCGTAGAGACGGGCGGACAGCCTTGGGAAGCAATGAGTTGATGGAAGAAACCATCTTGACGGAAGTGAAGCACATACGCAATCCAGGATCTGCACATGTGTCAGATGAGAAGGCGTATCCGAAAGTGGACAATGCACGAGATGTACGAACCCTATCGCACTGCTGTGAACTTCGATATTGTTGACATCATGGCCAAAGAAGAACAAGCCTGCGAGAGACGCTGCACCCATCATCATGTTCAGGCGCATTGCGATAGGTGATACATTCCACCCATTACTCACTTCCACACTCAGGATCTAACCCGTGAGGGTATATGCCGCTCTGAGCGACAGTACTGTTAACGAAATCATCATGCATGAAGTCGAAGTTACGAATGGCGACCCGGACGCGCGTTTCGTTTCCATACGCGACGGATGCAGCAATTTCTGCCAGTCCGAAAGTGCTGCATAGTATTGGATCAGTCGTGCATCGGTGAGAAGGTGAGGCCGATGACCCACGCCGTATCTATGTTTTGCGACTGAAGACAGAATGTCAGCACACGGTCACGATGACAGCATTGCAAGACTTTCTCACCCAGTTATTCAAGTCTACTTCGCCAGCCTCGTATAGCATCAGGGTGTTATTTTCCACTTGCACCTTCCATGACTCATTCCCGCTGCGCCAATCTTGCGCTGCAAGGGCAATAACCATGTTCGCGGCGGTCCTGTTGGAATCGCCATCGGCGTTAGGGGTAAGATCTGGCACGGAAGTCTCTTCTCCGGAGCTCAAAACATCTGATACAATTAGGTGAGCGAGCGTAACCTAGCATCCTGGTCTCTGAATACCTGGCGGGAATCCAAGTGACGGATCGATTTTGAGTTGTATTTCACTCGCTGCTTCCCAACCGGCTCCAAGAATGGCCGCGCGACTAGTGTTGGAGGTAGTGTTCTGGCATTCGTGGTGGCAGTCAGGACACATGCGCATGAATAGTCTGTATTGAAACTTACCTGCCATTCAGAAGGTATCGAGTAATTTTGGCAAGTCGCACCGCCAACGAAGTAAAGCAGGACAAGTATGGGAAAGTGAGGAACCGGCATCAGCGTGGCTTTCAACGGGTCCACCAGTCGAAATGGTATGTTAACGTCGGCGAGAGCTACAGACGGCGACCGGAGATCCGTGCACGGCCTTATGAAGCACACCCTGCGCCTGACTTGAGGTGGCTCTCATGGTCGACGCGTCAAGATTCATCCGTCACAACATCGAGCGCACAGAGATCTGGTACTATGTGTACGTTCGAACGTATCTGCGAAGGAACGATCAAGAAGAGGATCATCGATGGCAAGATTAAGAAGACGCAGCCCTCATCGTTGACCTGTAGCCCTTGTTTCAATAGAGGCCCAGCTTGACGGAAGCAGTACCCTTACCATCGTCACTGCGGCGACCTGATTGTTCGATAGGTAAGTGCATGCACATCGCGGTTCAAGTGAGATATATCATGACTCACAGAATATATGTCTTCAGGCACATCAGCACACGTCAAGCTTGTATAGACTTGCTTGTCAGATTGTGGTGACATCGTGGGTGCAACTGGGTGCAGCAGAAACACCACTCAACGGCGATGAAGCGCCCCAAGAACTCGTACTTACCCAGACGCTTTAACAAGCGTAGCCATTTAACGTATATCGATTCGTCTTTGGTCTCTAGTGGATGGTCAAAATAGGGATGTGCATGCATAGGAGAAGCGTAAGCTTGACATGTAAGCGGAGAGCCCTTAAACATACTGGATCTGATAGCTCGAGAGTAACCGGAGCGATAACGGGATTCGCACATGAAGACTTGTGGAATATTGGACAGCACGCCTTTTAGGCAGTCCTAGACCGGATGACTGAGGTATCATCTCACATTTCCCTCGGAGAACTTCTTTCAATAGAGCGATGTCGGACGCCGCTGTCATGATGGGGAATTCCACGATCGCGACAAATAGGTTCCCTGTACTTGTAACGTCAAAAAACTCGATCTATCATGCGAAGCGAATGAAGTGTGCGAGCGGAGAGGGTGCGCCATGCGTCTTATGCATTCACTGGCATATTGTGGAAGATTCATTGACACACGTATCAAGCTGCCTTACTCCTCACTCGGATATCGAACAGCGCCCTCTTCAATGCACACAGAAGAACGTCCTCCGGTGACAGCCGTGCCGTCAAGAGTATGTTGACGAGAACTGCCATTATCATCACATGTGATGTCTCTGTGGAGATAGAGGTTCTAGGCGGGAGAACGCGGCCAATACCGAGTAGATCCTTGAGACCTTTGCGCATCCAAAGTCCCAGCGACGGTCCGAGTGATACACGGCTGCATAAGGCTCTCTGCAGCAGTATGCAGTGTAGTATGAGACGAAGGACATACATAGCGACTTCGTCTTGCCTGGTGTGCCCGACAGCACCTTGGTCTGATCAGCCTCACGCTCTCGTCCATGTCCGCTCTTTTCTTCGCCCCGTCCAGCAGAACACCCCAGCGCCACACACGTTTCCGTATCCAGTACAGTTGGTAAGATACATATGGAGAACCACAGGGATGGTGACGTCCCGGGATAGTGGTGGATGACAGGTAAGCTCGAAGTGGTGACACCGTTCGCGTGCAGAAACGCGCGGGCCGACTTCACCGAAGCGCCGACGCGGAGTTACCCGCTCCTTGTACCCTTACCATCACCACTTCGTAACATATAGCCAATGAGTCAACGTCGAAACTCTTTCGTCTTTCATCTGCTTCTTCGCCGCATAAGTATGGGGAACCGACATCAACCGACCCAGTATTCGGCACTTGTTCATTGCATGCTATGTTGATGGCGAACAATGATGCCCATTGTGAGCGGCGCAGATGGCAATCGCAGCCGCGCGACGCGCTGCATAGGGGCATCGACTCAAGATTGAGGATCGTGACGTCTCGCTCTACCATAACTACTCATGTCCTTGGTATCGACTTCATTCATGTGGCGTGGTCCACAAAGTAATACCCACTCGACATTCCAAATCGCGAGTAACAAAGACTACTTAGTAACTACTCAGTACTCATCGCTCGGCCATTGTCCTAAGAAAACATTGTCTGCATTGAGTCCGTCTGTCCGTATTGCACTCTGAATATACGGTCCGTTACCGCAGGGCAATACACCCCCGTACTGAAGAGAAGCAGAGAGCGCTCTCCGAGCCGTCACACCTCATCCCCGTGCAGTATGCTCGGTATTGGTGCCATCATATCCCGGCGGATTGCTCTCGGTCTCCCCGCGAACGGCTAGCGTTTGGATGAGGTCATCTAGCCTCCTTCCCAACCTCCTCTCCAGGGCATTCAGCGCATCCGGATCACCTACTGATTGTCGTGTTTCGACCCCTGAGGCGCCGCCTACGACATCTACCGACGGGTTTGAAGGTAGGGAATCTCGGGAGATGTCGGGGGTGGGCCGCACGAGAAACCCCGCGCGATGCCAGCCGCCTGCCTTGATGTGCACCGGGTTTGTCGGATCGTATAGAGGCGCATCTTGAGTGAATGGTTCAGGTACGAGTCGAGTCCTTCGCGCTTGAAGTGAATCACCCTGCTTGGTGTCAACTCGAAGGTCAGGCGTCTCCCGTGTACGTTTTTGACGACGGAGGCACACGCAGATGGCGATAAGCGCCACAAAGACGCCGACACCGCCACCCACAGAGGCGCCGACGATGACAGCGATGGAAGTTGATGCGTGTCTTTGCGTTCCGGACGGCGCTGGATTCGTAGTGGGGGTTGGCAAACCGTTTATGTTCGTGGGCTGTGTGGTATTCCTGGGCTGTGAGGCATTCCTGCTGGTCATTGAGCGCCTGAGAGACCGACCACTGGACTCGACTTGATCCAGTCCTACTCACGTGGGAGCAATCACGAATGCTGCATTCAGCGCATCCAACGCCTCGACGCTGCCGAGCGTGCTGAACACCGACTGAGAGGAACTATGGCTGCCACTTTGCCATGAGAGTGCATAGTCGTTGCCACCAATAGCCGCGTTCGTCTGAACGGCGTTGAACTGGAATACGCCTTGTGAGTATAGCCTACGAGAGTTCAATCGGGCAGTCATACTACGAAACTCACTCACTTGAATAGTCAGATAGGCATCGATGAGGGCGATCAAGCCAGTGTTCGATGGATTTCGTAGCCGGGCTTCAAGCAGTCCACGCATATAGATCCCTAAAAGTGATTGAGCATAGTAATGGGCCCATACTCTGTGGGCAGACCTTTCGAGCACCACGGAGAATCTGAAGAACAGCTCGCAGTCAAAGGACCACACGTCTCAATGGTGGTGATGAGCGGGACTTACCTGTACTGAGGATCCCATCACTCGTATGCCAGTCGCGGAAAGATACAATGAACGGCATCAACGCGTCCAACCTAGTGCAAACGGGATTGAGGAATAGCACATTTTGGCCCGAGTCACGCTACGCACATCTGAGTGTACGTCTGGTTCGCTGTTACATTGGCCACGATACTCAATCCTTCGATGTAAAAGCCGATATCGTCCGCGTTGATGATACCAGGGTCGATCTCACATGACGTAGGATCAAAAGACCCGGAGATAGAGTCTTCCGGCTTTGCTAGGTACGTATTCATGAATTGGATCGATTGCTCTGCCGTGGTAAGATATGTGGCGTTGCGCGTGAGCTCGTACAAGCGTGCGGACAACCTGGATGGGTTCTATCGATTTTCCTTTGCGCGACGGTGCTGCCAATGAAACGCACGTTATCCAAGAGCTGTGTGGTTTCAAATCAGCAAAACTGAATGTTGGGAGCGAAAGGTAGGAGACCCGACCCTATCGCACTTCCGTGAACAGTAAGGTCATCGGAGCCGTGGTTAAAGAAGAGTAGACCTCCCAGGGTGGCTGCAACGGCGCGGTCAGTGCTTATCCAGCGTCAAACATCTTCTGAGATGGCATACCTCCACAGGTAGATTTCAGTTTGCGGGGGTATGCCCCGTGCTGTGCCGCAGTCGGGGTGATGAAGTCGCTGTAGACGATATCGAAGTTACGCTTGGCGATATCGAGATGGGAGCTGCCATTGCCGTATGCAAGATAAGATGCGATCTCAGCAAGTCCAAAGGTACTGCGATCAGCATGATCAGGTCAAAGTATGTGAAAGCGGTGGCACGAGAAAGAGCACCATGTGTCGATGTTTTGTATCTGTATACATTGCATCAGGAAGAGTTCGGGAAAGCTATTCTCAACTCCGCACACGCACCCTGCTGTCCAGATCCTTCCTTCCTGCTTCGTAGAAGGAGAGGGTGTTGGTTTCAACTTGCTCCTTCCAAGAAGTATTACCACGGCGCCAATCCTGCGATGCGAGTACGATGACCATGTTTGCAATGGTCCTGTTACTGTATTCGGCGTCTTCGCCACTAACGTCTGGCGCAACACGATGAGACGACATGGTCTAGTGCACCCGTTCTATACGCACCTCCGGGGTAGCCTAATGAGGGGACAACTTTGTGCTGAAGCTCGCTGGCAGCCCCAAAGGCGATGTCCACGCGTTTATTGTAGCTAGCATTTGACGCGGTGTTCTGCCAAGATATGAGTATAGCGAGCGACACCCTTCCTAACGTGAGGCCTCACCTGCCACGCCACAGGAATTGTGAAGTCTTGAGCGAAGGTGACGGCGGTACGACACAGTAGGACCAGCAAGAGGGGGGCGGAGGGGAGATGCGGAAGCATATCCAGGCAATACAAGTCAAAGCAGACTCAGGAGGCGGTGGTTCCCTTGGATACTTATCATGAATGGTACCGGCGCAACGTTGGAATCCCGTCGAATCATACATTTTCGACCTCCGTGAGCCAGAATACGTTCCAAAATACCCAGTTGAAGACATGTAAGCACACCATCATTTCATCGGGAGTCGGCTATAAAGTGGCTTTCATAGCCTCAACGATGATCATCCCGCGATATTACCGCTGTGGAGATGAGGAACAGTGACAAAGACCAAAGCTGGCAAGCGCAATGCGTTTCTCGGCCATTGTACCGATTGGCAGGTGCGGCGTCGGTCCAGGATTAGACGGTTGACTACCGGTTTCTGCCGGTCATAGATGGATGGCTATGCTTGGATCAGATGTGCTGTACCGGCTCGTATCAATGCAGTTGCTGCTCGAACAACCATGTCAACGGTATGTTCGCAGACGCGTGGGATACAATAGACCGCATAGATCCATTCAAGTCCGTCTCGATTACTCCAATAAATTACCACATTCTCCGCTCAAGCTGATTGCAATAACCTCTTCGTCTCCGCGAGCACCTACGAGATACTTCTTATCAGCACACTTCTCTCACACTTCGCATGTACAAGCGATCACGCACCTGGTGTATGTCTGGCCTATCCTTCGGATCTACCTTCAGCATCGAGTCGATGAGCTTCCTGAACCCCTCCGAGTACTGGTATGATGCCGGATGCTTGTATCGGGCACTCATGACGGCCATAGCGATGGAGCCACCCTGCTCTGTCGTTTGTGTCGTCTCGAAGGGCGAATGGAGGTAGGCGAGTGCGTATAGTACACAGCCAAGTGACCAGATATCAACCTTCTCATCCAACGTCACACCGGTCTTCACGTCGAAGAGTTCGGGTGCACGGTATGCCATTGTGCTGTGCTCCGCAGCGATATCTTGTTGTGCAAGTGCTTGAGCACGGTTCTCAATCGGTATGCGTGCGCGTACGCAAGAGCCGAAGTCCATCAGGATGGGTGTCAGGCCGTCGTCTGCCAACATGATGTTTCTGCATGGGCATTAGCGTGAATACAAGAAGACGTAGATAGAAGTAGGCGAGACATAGCGTACCCGGGTTTCAAGTCTCGATGGGCGTAAGGAATGACCTCTCCCGCCTGTCCGCCCTGCGTTTCCCTATCGCCATCAAACACAGCACCACCGGCTTGGGCGTCCATCTTCGCCACAAGTGGCACACTAGCACCCTCTTCACCATCCGCGTGTCCGTCCGCATGCTCATCATTATACGCGTCCTGTCCGTCCTCATCATGTTCCTCGTGCCTTTGCGCCTGCGCCGGTAATGCACCAGGCTGTGGGAGACGGTAGGTGTGTAATGCCCGCACGGCTTCGCATGTGCCTTTGAATAATGCAAGTATGTGGCGCTCGGAGAAGTTGGAGGAGGATGTTGTGTGTTGTGTGATGGCGTCTTGGAGGTTGCCGCGTTTGTAAACGGGGAGGAAGAGGTAGACTATTTGGCCTTCGCCAGAGTCGTCTTGTACGACGGCAGAGTCGAGGATGCGGATTATATTTGGGTGCCTGCGAGATTGCTAAGTATAGAACTCGGGTCCGGGGTAGAGATAGGATAGACGTACTTGAATCGCCTGTAGGCTTCAACTTCGCGCATCGCTTGCCTGACGCCGTCTGCTCCAGTCGGACAGAATATCTTCTTGAGCGCGAATTGTCTCTATTTCCGCGTGTCCCGTCAGACGCCGCACCATCATTCAATTGGACTGCACAACGTACTTGACTTGCTTCGTCTTGGGCGAGGTATACAAACGAGAAACCGCCTTCACCAAGTACGCGTAGGATCTTGACTGTACGCGGTGTACTATTAGCAGCTGTGATATATATCGCAATGAAACGGTAGCGCACAAGTTCGGCCATTAATCTTGACTTTCTGGTCCTGCTGCCATAGACAGCTCGTAACCGCCGAAAGCGCGTCCTGCGCGTGGTACTTTAACCTGTCGATAGTAACCAGCCATGATTGCGGTAATGAGTCCATGGCAGGGCCAGTCGCAGTTGATAGAGCAGTAGATCAAAAGAAGCGGACAAGTCTGACAGGTGACGAACGTGGAAAGAGTAGACGCGCACCGCAGTCAGAGCTGTGTACAGCTCGGCGATCCGGGCCGGCGCACAACCACGCGTGCGTGACTTGTTCTGGCTCATCAACGCACGCCACACGCGTCTCGTCGCTCTCCTTCGCACCACCACCATCGTCCCCCATCCTTGTCCCCTGCACCCTCGAATTTACTTGAGACATGTCAGGGAATGCAGACTTTGTGGTTGCGGATAGCGAAGATGAAGATTCGATGATTATGCGGAGACCGGAAGACGATCCCATGAATGGCCGTGAGTTCACCAAGTCTATTATTCGCGACACGTGCAATGTCTAAAGAGACGCACAGAATCTGCAGAGACATCTACAATAGGAAATTTTACGACAATGAATGGACAAAAGACGTCGAATATCGATTCGTTCGGTACTTCGGCTATTCCCCAGCTCGATGGTGCTTCGTCCGCCGCTCCCGCCGCACCCAAGCCTCGTCCTCGTCCGCGACCTGTACAGCGCAAACCGAAACCACCCGCTGCGGAAGCTTTAGCTGATGACAGTATTGCGACGACTTCGGCATCTTCCCTACAACCGATACCAGAGCCCGCACCTGCTCCAACTCTTCAGCCTGAGCTCGACCTCTCGTTCTCTCTCGGCGTCGCAGAACGCGCGAAACTTCGTGCACGAGGCGCAGCAAAACCTTTACCTGTACCTGCGAGTCAGGTGATTGAGCTTACCGACGAGTCTGACGACGAGCTTGCGCTACCTCCTCCGCGTAAGACGAAGAAGGCTAAGACGAACCACACGGCTGCTGCTGAGGAGCGCGCCGCAGGAGTCGCAGGTGTGGGCGATACGACACTAGACTCGATATCAGCGGCACATATTCCGCTTCCGAGCTCCAGTCTACCCCCTTCGTCGCCTTTCCCATCACCTCTTCGCCCCGCCAAACGCAAACGGCCCGCTGAGGACGCAGATATGCCTCCCCCGGTGCCTCCTCCATTCTTCGATGACACGACCGAATCGTTCGTGAGCGAACTTCCGGGCGCAGACTTGAGCTCCGTCGCAAGCGGCAGCGTTGCGCCAGCGAAGGAGAAGAAGAAAGCGCCGAGGAAGAAGAAGGTCGTGGATGACGAAGAGGAGTACTGGAACGCACCGATAGAGGAGATTATGCCGAAGAAGAAGGGAAAGAAGAAGGCTGTGGACGATGAGGAGGAGGATTGGGATGCCGCGCCGAAGAAGAAGAAAGCGACTAAGAAGAAGGCTGCTGCGTCTACTGCCGCCGTTGAGGATGCTGCAGAGGGGGAAGGAGCGGCACCAGCGAAGAAGAAGGCACCGCGCAAGCGCAAGGCGGTTGAAGTCTCTTTGCCGCCAGTCGCACCGGCTCCGGCTCCCGCGCCTGTCGTGCAAGATGCGGAGATGTCATTCGTGCCGCCGTCTATACCTGATCGTGCACCATCGTCGGATCCAGGCGAGGAGGACGAGTTGAGGTTACCGGACTACAATGCACCTTCACCGCCTCCTGCACCAGCACCTCTACCCGACCCTGAACCTGAACCAATAGTCGCGCCCGAATCCGTAGCTGCACCAGCGAAGAAGAAGCGCGCCGCGAAGGGCAAGGGCCAGGAGAAGGAGAAGGCCGCCGAGTCTGAGGCGATCGAGGGGACGGAAGAGACGGAGGTCGCGCCGCCGAAGAAGGGCAAGAAGGCTACGAAGCGCGCGGTTCTGGACTCTGACGATGAGGATGCGCCTGTCGCGGCGCCTCCGGCTGCGCCGAAGAGGAATGGCAAGAAGAGCAAGAAGGCTACACCTGCCGCTGTGGCTGAAGATGCGGAAATGGCTGTCGTGGAGGAACCTCCTGTTGTGGCAAGTTCACCTGCGACGCCGACGAAGCGAAAGGTATGATCTTATGGCGTCTGTATCTTTGACTATGAACTTACAGTATCCATTTACAGGAGAACCTCCAGCCGTCACCGAGTAACTCGACGCATGAGCCTCTCACATCTTCCGCGTCGGTGTCAACGCCTGCACCTATACGACCATCTGCGCCACGCCCCTCAATGAACCGGGAATCCTCTGCTCTTCCGGCTTCATACATCGCAAACAAGCAGTACAGCATCGCGCGATCCAAATCCGGCGTCTCCGACCTCCTCCGTCGCACTTCTTCGCCCGCAGGACAGACAAAGTCGTACTCTCCATACTCGAAGATGTCAAAGACGGTGTTGAGGAAGTTCGCGCCGTTACATCCGAATAGGCGGACTCCGCCGCCTCCGCCGCCGCCACCTCCGCCGAAGAAGAAGACGAAGAAGGAGCTGGAGAGGGAGGAGAGGTGGGAGGAGGAGTTGGAGGATGAGGTTGAGGGGTGGTATGCACTCCCGGAGGAAGAGAGGGCGAGGTGGAGGAGGGCGAAGAGGGATAAGGAGTTAGGATATGATGACTAGCGTGGGTGGGCTGGGACTGGGATTGATTGGACATGGACTGCTATTCGCGCTTGTGGGTAGTGACGCTTTCATTTTGCTTGTGGGCTTGCTTTGTGGACTTGTTGTGTGTACTTATGTAGTAAATGATAAAGGATTTGATGATACGGGCGTACGCCGGTACTTTCAGGCGCGCTTTCGAATCACGGTCGCGTTGTGAATTTGAGGCAGAGTGGCGCATGTAGATGTCGCGTGTGCCTACGTACCGGTGTGCGGTGAAAATTCCCGAGGCGATCACCAACTTAGTGATTGCTCATTATCTGTCCCTTCTGCATATCGGAGCAGATTTTACTCGTGCCTGCGCGAGGAATGCTACACACAATTGCTGGGCTAGCTGGTACGGGTGCGTACGCGGCAATTGCCGGCGGGAACAACGGACCGGCACGCTGAACTCATACGTACAGCGCCCGAGGTGTCACTTGCTCTTGTACCTCCATGGCAAAATATTCCGAACGCACTGCTATACACTCATCCGCTCGTGGGATACGCAAGGATCAGGACCTCTGTCTCAAATCGACTATCGTTTACCATACCGAGTTCCAGCCTCACTGCAGGCCGCCCCAATTTCGCATCGGACTACTTACTCCACCGCAGATCGGCCAGTCCAGTACTGTACCACGTTATCGGACTCCTAGTACCCCGAGCATGTTTGAAACGATCGAAATTGTGTCCCTCTGGAATTCCCGACGCTTGGGCAGCTTGGACGAGTCAGAGTGTATGGTTGTTGGACCCAGTGTACGATCGGCGGCGCCGAAAAGGGCAATCGGTTCGGGAAGTGCCCGACGCGACGCGAGGCATGCGCGCGACGCGTCGCGTCGCGTCGCGCGTTGCTTGTCTTCTTCATCGTCGACCCTCACCCTCGACTGGGCTTTTTCCCAAACCATCCAAAAACGGACTATATCATGCCGCCTGTCGGCAATCCAGACGTGACAATGGACGATGCGGACGAGGTAGATTTCGATGTGGCGCGTTACAAGGCTCTTATTGCGCACGTCTTCCTTCCACCTCAACTGCCGGCGGTAGAAGAAAGCGCGGACGATCTACGCGACACCTCTACCGTGCTGTGTAGCGCACTACTTGAAAGCGCAGAGGATTATATGGATAAGGCGGAGGAGGAGCAACGCGCGAAGTGGGGAGTCGTGGTGAAGATGATCAAGAAAGCGAGGGCGTTCGTGCAAACGCCGATGACCCAGTCGAGGCTGGCGTCTGTTTTGGAGGACATGGATGTTGGAGGCACGTGACCGTATTGTACCGTCATTAAACCAGCAATCAACTGATCTTCTCACCAGACGTACTCCCGCTACACATACGAGCTCAGAATGCTGCGGTCATCGTGCGCAAGAACGAGGAAGGGTCCAGCTTCGAAGTCTTCGAAGCATCATCCGCGAACGAGACGGTGTACTCTACGACTGGCAAACTGGTCGTTGTCTACCCTGGTCCTGCTGTGCAGGTCCCCACAGATGTCGTCCAGAATCAGTCCTTCCGCGACAACCTCGCGCTCTTCCTCTCAAGCATGGACGTGGACGAACTCGATTCAACGCCGGAAGCTACAAAGGCCGGCTCTACAGTCAGAGAAGTACGCGACACGACCGATCCGCGCTATATCTCGCAGCTCCTGGTCGGTATCCTGCTTGGATGTCAGGGAGCGACCGACGCGAATGTCACTCGAGTCACGAAACGCGTCGCCGACGAGGTCGTCTGGGACGGCGGACGTAAGCCATGGCGTAGGCTCCCTCTGTGGCTCATTCTTCGTGTCGCAATACAGACGACGCTCGACGATCGCGACGCGTACAAGTCGTTCATGGTCTTCTTCATGGCCCGCGTACTCGACTGGTCTACCAAGTCAGACAAGTCCAAGGCTTCAGGCAGTGACTTCTCAAGCGACCTTCTGGACATCATGCACAAGAAGGTCGCCCGTCGATTTGCGAAGCTCAACGACGATCTGCCTGCTTTCGTCGTAAAAGCCGTGGAGAAGATCTGCGATGGGACCAAGACCCTGCTCGAACGTCGTTGGAAGTCCGTGTTGAACGGGCAGAGCGCGCGCCTCCGGAACATGCGGGCCGATCTCGGCGCGGCTCTTTCGTCGGCCGAGGCGAACACAAAGCTCGCGCTCAGCGGAGCGATGCCGACTTTAACCGCAGCTCTGAACCGCGTAGGAAACACGTACGAGCGCGTAGCTTTCAACCCCGCCTATCCTCGACGACTCAAGGACATCAATGGCCTTGGCGAGTTCCCTGAAGGAGGCTTGGAGGCGGCGCTTAAGCAGGACACCCCGACGCTCGTCTTGGCGGACTTCGAGGAGGTCGTACGTGAGAAAGTTCTCCATTGGGTTGAGAAGGGGAGAAACGACGCAGAGACTCTGGAGAAGAGCTGTCTCGTCATCTTTGAGCTTTCGAGGCAGTACCGAGCGGCGACGTCCAAATACTACGACCGCACGAACCCTGAAGATCAATCTATCGCTGTACTCACACAACTCATGCTGTGGGCTTCGATCGACCGCATCACGATCAAGGCGTGTCCGTTACTCGAAGATTATAGTCCCGAGATACCCGATACGTTCCTCGAGCCGCTCGTGCTGCGCGACGAGCGCAATATCCGGCTGGCGAACGAACTCGAGAAGTATCTTCGCGCCAGGCATGGTCGTGCACATATGCGAGACATCTCTCTCTTTACCGCGTCCTCGGACGCCCGGTCCTTCTCTCGGCGGCTATACGCTCAAGATCCGCGCTACGCTTCTCATAAGGAGAATATTGAGGACCGAGCCAAACATGATCGTCAGGCGAAGTGCAACGAGCTACAGAAGCTGAACAAGCGATACGCCGACCTAAGAGCCCAAGCTGCATCTCTTAGCCATACTTCGGTTACGGTGAAGGAACTGAGGACGGTTGGACGAGGCAGGTCAGCCCATACGTTCGAGTCGGAGAGGCACGAAGATCCTGCGTGCCGGCTATGTCGCCTCGAAAGAGAGATGCAGGGTCTGACCATCGACGTGTACGAGTGGCCGTTACCAGAGGAAGAGGGCAAAGCGGAGGCTGTTGTTGTTGAGCTGCTGTGCCCGCCGACGTACTCGATGTGGCGCGACGCGACGTTCGACTTGCTCACGCATACGGGCAAGCTGGCCGATCCGGAGGAAGGGGAGGAAAAGCGAAGGCCGGCGCATCCTCAGATGCTCTTGCCGAACTACGCTGGTCTGCGGAAGTTCAATCAAGCGCGGTCGGGGAGCGTGATATACGGCTCGCTCACTGATTCGTTCACGAGCACGCATTATAGCACGCAGAACATACCCTCCACCGAGGAGAGGATCTGCGTCAATAATGGACTGAACTACGCATACGTTGACCGTCGCTTGGGAGGATTATGGGCCGGAAAGCTACCCTACGCAACGAGCAGTGTCGCACGCCTTTGTACAATCACCCTGCCGAAGGGTAGTCGCTATACGCACCTTCAACACACGATCAACGGGACCGAGCACACGTCGAACGAAGCCATCGCCGATCAGGCGTCTTGCCCCAAAGAACTCAACCTACACGAGCACCTCAGCTTCGCCTCTATCCGATCTGGAGGCCGTCTGCAGTGGATGAACGTTGCGCGCGAACTCCGCGCTCGTACGCTCACTCACAGTACGCCGGAAGTCCATTTCCTGCTGATGATGGCAACGTGGCAACTCGGCCCGCTCGGGCCGGGCGAGGCGCAGCGCGAGTGGCACCTCGAGCTCGTCGATCCCGCGTTCTGTCGTACTGTTCTACGTGAAGCACGGGCGTTCTTAACAAGCGTTGGGGACAATTGGAAGGAGACTATGACAGTGCGGACGATGAGTGAGTTCTAGTAGTCTACTTCCCATACCACATGCTGATATATACCCAGTTCTGGTCGTGCATCGCGTTTTGGAGGCTTGCCCAGACGACGGCGTGTGCAACGAAGCTCGCGCGGCACTCCGCTTCGCGCGTATGATTGCAGCTCGCTTTCGTGACACTCTCAAGACTCGTATGGATGGACTGAGGAACGCTCCCGAGGCGGTCTGGCAAGCGGCACAGCGACAAGTCTGCGAGGCAGCGGCGACGTGTGTATCGACATACGACGTCTCATCGGACGACAACATGGAACTCCTACTCTACTCCAACGAGGATGTTACTGAACTGATTCGTAGCGCGGTGGTCGTTCAGGAGCACTTGCCACCGAACAAGAAGGAGATACCGCTACATATGCAACTCCTCCTACGTCGACACGAACGCGCGCTGCTTAGGCTTGAAGCGCGCACGCGGGCGCTCATTCTCAGAGCTCCGGGTGGGATGCACGAGGCCATCAGTACACTGTGGTCGAGCTACCACCCGAATGGACGGTGGGTTGCCCTGGAGGCCCCAGCTGAACGGCAACTGTCATGCTCGCTGGAGGGTGCGCAGACGGCGCATTTCGATCTTCTTACCGGGACTCTTCTTGTCGGAGGACGGAAGATCAATCGGCTGCCGATGGCTATCACTACACATGAGGTGTTTGTGCGCCTCTTCGGTCAGGTTCGTGGGCGTGCCGTTTGCATGTGTGGTGTAGTGTGACTCACTAGATGCATAGATGATCCTGAACATCGTGCCCGCGGCGGACCCGGATATGGAGTATGAGACCAGACAGGCGATCTCTGAGTCTCAATGGACGGTTCGTACTCGTCTCACACTCACGCTGTGACTGAACGTTGACCTTAAACACTCGCTTAGCTATCGTTCGCCCTCCGTCCCGGTGATGTCCTTCTCATTCGTGCGCGCCCTGCGGCGGCGGGAAACCGGCGTGATCAATCGCTCGAGCTCATACCGCACACCGCATTCTCTGGCGACCTTCCACAGGCCTTAGCCGAAGACTACGTACACTGGTTGGATCTTACATCTGGCGAAGTCGAGTTCCGCCCCAAGAACTCTCCTTGGACTGTCAACCAGAAGAACTGGCGCTTGATCGGCTTAAGGCAGGGCGCTCCTCAGTTACAACTCGGTCAATCTCGTGTTCGTCTGATCGACCCTCACTCGAGCTCCTTCCGCACCCTGCATACTGTCCTGGGTGTCCTCGAACTCCCGCAGTTTATGATCATGACGGTGGACTCGAAGAACATACGCGTCAAGCTGTCCCGGTTGCGCTTATCTTTCCTCCTCGAGAACGGTACTCGGAGGCTTGTGTGCGAGAGCATCCACGGGATGATTGTCGACATGACCGATCAGTCGTCGGGAACGCTCCTAGGCTTGCGTAGCCAGCTTGCACTCAAGGATAACGCGCAGGCCAAGTACAAACTCCCAGGCTCGCGGCGCGTCATCATTCCCCACGGGACCGTCGTCTTTGCGCCCGACGTATACGGTCACTCCATCGTCGAGATACAGGTCGATGAGAAGCCCTCGCAAGTAGCGTACTATGATTACCGGATCGACCAGGATCTCGGCTGTATGGCCGGAACATCCAACATCACCGAGCGCCTATTCCTGTGCTACCTACACGCTGTTACCAGTAGCAGCCTGCCTGATCCTCTCACCGGCCTCACTGGCACGGAACAAGCACTACATGATCTCAGTGGCGCGCGGGTGCTATCCTTCCAGTCGCTTTCGGCCGTAGACGTGGCGATAGTCAAAGCAATCGCGGCGCTTACGCCCCAGCGAGTCTTCTTCCCGAAGCATCTCACTGGCATGCAGCAGGTCAAGTGGAGCGCACTTCCTTCGCTGTCGCAGCATACAGGCTTTCACCGCGCTGCCGAGTTCATTCTTCAATATGCTCGCGATATGGCGCTCTTCCAAGAAGGCACGAGCGCGGGCGTCAAGGCGGAGTTTCTCGCGAAGAGTCTTGATTCGATTGGGCGTGGTGACAAAATACTGCTCGAACGTGCTGCACAACGTGCCGCAGGTCTGTATGCGGCCGATACTACCTTCAATGTCGAGGCGACGCGAAACGGGGATCTGAGGTTCGACGGACGCCATTCAATCGACAGTACGGGCTCCGCGGAGGGAGCATCGGCTAGCATTCTCAATGTCGCCCACCTGGCGAGGGACATGCAGGCTCCAGCAGAGGTGCTTCAGCTGTCACAGTTCAACATCGCCAATGTTGCCCTCTCCCAGTCTCTTGTCAACACGCTGTCGTCGGCATCGTTGTCGTACAGCATGGCCTGGCTGCAGGGTCTCAACATCTGGGCGTATTTCCTCTCCTACTACCGCCGCTGCCTCGAGTACGACGATGGTGTCATGGGTCACAACCGCTTCAAGCTCGTCTTCAGTCTTTGCTCATTCGCGTTCGGACGGCCGGCGATGCGGGAGACCGTCATGCTGTTGCTGGCGCTCTGTCTGAACAACAGGCTCCGGCATGAGCGCCCCGCTGAGCTATACGCCCATGGCCATCAACAACTCACTCTCACGGACGGCTTCTCCCCCAAGCGCAGTGACGTTTCGGATCACATTCGGCACTGCTGCACGCGGCGGGAAGACACACCGGCAGACAGACTTGTACGACGCGCGACGGAGACGTTGGTCGAGTTCGACCAGCGCAAGCAACGTGAACGCGTACGCTGTACGCAGCTTGCCCGGGACGACTTGGCCGATCTTTGGATGAAGCAGTGGGAGCGTGCGAAGCCCTCGCTGACTCGTGATCGTTGGCTCGCCGTCGACTTCGGGGCGCTCAATTTGGGCGACTCTGCACACGACATAGCGTTGTGGGTGCATAGCTCGGCTAAGAAGACGGAGTCGGTCTCGTCTTACATGGAACGATGCAAGCTCAACGAGATATTCTCGCGTCATCTGAATCGAGTACAGGCTGAATTGCGAAGTGCGGTGGTCCCTGCACCTGATGTAGAGATGCTCGCCCCACTACGTACCTCGTTCGAGCCATCCGTCTCAGCGCCGATGCAGACCAATGCATCGTTCGCCACTCTCTTGGCGACCCGAGCACCGCCTGCTGTAACACCACCTACGAACAACGTGACTGAAGCGTCGCAGAAGCCCTCATCAGAGCAGTCCACGGCCATGGGCGACCTACGCAGTGTACTTGACGACCTCCAAGATCTCTCCGACTCCGAGATACTGCGCACATACGTGGAGGATCTCACTGGGAGCATCAGAGACTCGAAGTCTGTGCCATTCACTTCCGCTTCGACCCTCCCCAAGGACGTCTCCAACCTTACAAGTCTGCATCCCAAGGCAGAGAAGCAGCATGAGCGCACTCTGGAAGACCGCACGTCGCTGAGGAAAGCGCTTGAAGCCCGGGCACCGTCGGAGCGTCGGCTTGATGCCGCGGGCTTATGGCCGAAAACCCCGACGCGCGCTCTGCTCAGCCTTTTGGGGAGAGATAAGATTGGCGATGTGCCGAAGGCGTGGCGTTCGGCAGTGACTGCGTTCGGACGCAGTGTTCTCGTCTATCAACGGTTCCAGCGTTTGCTCCATTCAATCTCAAGTAAACGCCCCGAGGAGGCGTTGAAGGAGTTGGAGAATGCGACTCTGGATGACGCGGAGGGAGCCCTATACGATTCTCCGGACTGGCTATTGATTCAGGTAATGTCCGAGCTGAGACGTTTAGAAGTTGCATTCGCTCATGAGATCCCATATAGATCGACTCGAACTTCCTCGCGCGCCCAGTGCAACGTTCGATTGCCCAGGACATGATCACCCCGGCCTCCGGGCAGAACTCGCTATACCAACTCAACATGGGAGAAGGAAAGTCCTCCGTGATTGTACCATTCACCGTCGCTTCGCTCGCCAATGGCGAGTCCCTGGTCCGCGTGGTCGTGCTCAAGGCGCTCAGCAATGCCATGTTTGACCTGCTCGTCGATCGCCTTGGCGGACTCCCCAATCGACGCATCTTCCAGCTACCGTTTTCGCGCGACCTTTTGATGACCGAGGAGCTGGTTAAGACGATGAAGAACCTGTGCGAGACGTGCATTCGCGTCGGTGGGATACTGGTGATCCAACCTGAGCATATCTTATCGTTCAAGCTCACGGGACTCGACTACCTAATCTCGCATTCTTCTGAACAACCCAACGACATCTGGAACCTCGCTACATCACTATGGAATTTCAAACGTTGGCTCTCAGAGCGCACGAGAGACGTCCTCGACGAAAGCGACGAGCTGCTGCACGCGCGTTATCAGCTGATCTACACAGTCGGCCTTCAACAACCGATCGACGGACACCCACAACGCTGGACTATCGTGCAACAGGTCCTCCTAGTTTTCATAGACTGCGTCTCGGCGCTAGCCGATGCCCATCCACGTAATATCATCTTCCACAATGAAGCAGGAGCAAAGTTCCCGACCATCCGCCTCCTGAATTCAGATCTCGACGGCGAGCTCACCGGCAATATCATCGACCGGATCATGTCTGGCGCACTTCCAGATCTGCTGTTCTCCACTTTATCGGGAGAGGCTCGGGCGGCCATCACGGAATTTATTGGCTCGCCTGTTCTCAGCGATGCCACATATTCGCGCGTGCGCCAAGATCTGTCGGAGGACATCTGGAAGGGCGTACTTCTACTTCGTGGGCTCCTGGCACCTACTTCCGGTGTCCTGTTATACGTCTTCAAACAGCGTCGCTGGCGGGTAGATTTCGGACTCGATCCCACGCGGTCGCTACTTGCCGTGCCCTATCGGGCCAAGGTTCGTTTCATCTACATGATCTATTTTGGACAAAGTACTCAAGATGCTCCAGGACGTTCCAAGCACAAGAGCGGAGTTCGGTCATCCTGACGTCGCCATCCTACTCACTTGCTTATCATACTGCTACGGCGGTTTGACACCGAGTCAAGTCGTTCTTTGCTTCGACCAGCTCTTCAAGATGGACGATCCGCGACAGGAGTACGCGATCTGGGTCGGTGCCGGCGGTGCCAGTATACCGCATGAAATTTCAGACCTCTCAGGAGTCAACCTGGATGATGCAACGCTGGTGGAGACCAAGCTCGTGCCCACGTTCTCGTTCAGCTACGCAGTTGTCTATTTCTTCCTGAACCGCGTCGTCTTCCCTCGCGAGGCGAAAGAGTTCCCTCAGAAGCTTGGATCCTCTGCGTGGGATCTCGCGGAGAGAAAGCCAAACGTCACTACTGGCTTCAGCGGCACGAAGGACAATAGATTTTTACTGCCGACGACGATTTCACAGACGGACCCGCCGGAGCAGCGCGGGACGGATGGGCTAGTGCTTTCATACATGCTGCGCCCCGAGAACACCTACAGTGCCTACACCGGCGCCCAATCTGGCGAGGAGTACCTGCAATTCATTGTCAAGCAGGAGCCCACGATTTGTGTGCTACTCGATGTTGGTGCGCAGATGCTCGACATGAGGAATCAGGAGCTCGCACGGCGTTGGCTCGATCTCAGTGATGATACCGTACAGGCCGCCATCTTCTTCACAGACGCGGATGATCTCGCGGTCTTATCTCGCGATGGGGCCGTAGAACGCTTGCGGTCTTCCCCGTTCAATGAACAGCTTGACAAGTGCATCGTGTATCTTGATGACGCGCATACACGTGGAACCGACCTGAAGTTGCCCAAGGAGTATCGCGCGGCGCTGACACTCGGTCAAAAGGTCACGAAGGATCGCTTGGTACAAGGTAAGGCTATCCGTCTTCAATCGCACATCTCAGACTAATGAATCACGTTTGCTATCCAGGTGCAATGCGGATGCGCAAGCTTGGGCATGGGCAGTCAGTTCTGATACTCGGCCCGCCCGAGATAGACAATGCTATACGCAATATGACTCGCGTCGCTGAAGACGAAGAGGTGGACGTCCGTCATGTTCTTCAATGGGCGATGCTCGAGACGTGCGAAGATATCTCCCGACACATACCTCACTGGGCGGAGCAGGGTGTAGATTATATGCGACGAAGGCAGGCGGAAGGCGCGTACGACGGTGCACAGGATCTTGACTCCCTGAGGCTTGGCTGTCTGAGACCAGAGGCTCGCACACTGGACGAGGTACGTGTATATGTAGTCGTTGCCCACTTCATGCTGAGCCCTGACGACGTCGTAGATGTACGGGACTACAGAGGCCTCGCAAGCCAATGAAAGTCTGTGGCAGCGCGTGCAGTCAGTCGAGGAACTCCGGGCCCACCTGACGCGGTTGGGTGTCACCTCGCTTGGGAATGCCCGCCTATCCGAAGAACAGGAGCGAGAGGTCGTGCTGGAGGCTGAGCGCGAACGACAAGTTCAACGGCCACCAAAGGTCAATCCGGCTATGCACCTTTTACACCCGGACGTCCTTCAGTTTGCTCAGTCGGGTCACATTCCTCCGCGCTCTTCGCAGTTCGCGGGCCTCTTCAGTTCCGTCCAACGCATACAAGACGCGTGGGATCCACGTCTGCTCACGACACGGGACTTCGCCATCACCCTCGCTACCCCTCATACGCTACCAGCTCTTCATGACTATATGCGACCGGTTTCCTGGGTGCTTTCCTACGGCTTTGACCATGTCGATTCGGACAACGCCCGTTTGGTCTCAATCTCGCCGTACGAAGCCAATCGCTTGGTACCTATTCTAAGATCCAGCGCGGTGACCGGAGTTCGCTTGCACGTCTTCACACCGCGACTTGTGAAGAGCATGCCCTCTATGTCTGACCTGTGCTTCCACGTCACCCCTGCACCGCCCGTTCCCACGTTCTCGGTGCCGCGACTGTTGTGTAGTCAGTTGGGCCTATGGGCGGGCGAGCTATGGTTCGACGACTACGCGACCTACAAGCAACTCTGCGCGTTCCTCGGACTATATATGGGATGTCCGCCGGACGAGGTCAAGCGTTTGCAGGAGGGTGGCCATATTGGCAGCGATGGCTTCGTTCTCGTCAATGGACGCTCGCTCCTTGCTGCCCCCTCCTTGTTCCAACATAGCCCTGTCCAGAGACTCCGCGACCTTTTTGCGTACAGAAGGAAGAGCGTGGACTACACGTCTACGCACGTTGGACGGGTTCTCAGCGCTCGCGAGCTGAGAGAGGGGGAAGATTGGGCATTGTGATCGGCGAGGTAGCATATCAAGAAAGTATAGTATTTGCAGTAATACCAGGAGGAACGTTGGCAACGTAACTACATGTTTGTGTACCAAATCGACGTAATACTGTGTCATAATGATATGTTCACTCACTAATTCGCCCCGTGATTAACGCAAAGTGCCCACCGCGATATCGTAGATGCCGGATCGTCCCCTTCCACCAACGTTCTCGCTCGCTCGCTCGCCAACGCGTGGTGGATCTGAAGGTACATATGCTTGCCAGTAAGGCTGAGCATGGCCTTGGAGAATGAATCCAACGTCCTGTTGACGTAGACAACCGCTATTTCCTGACCATCAGCGCTCGTGTCGATCCATACCCAGCGCAGTGATTATCCTCCTTCCGGGTGCCGTCCTGGGTGTGTTCGCCGGGAAGTTGCCTACAGCGTGAGCTACATGTCCGACATGCTCCTGGACCAGTCCGTGTCATGTTCTCAGTATTTGATCCTCTTGACTCTGGACGATGTACTTGACGCGCTAAAGCTGGGTTTGAGGGCGCTTCCCGAGTTGATAGCCAGTGCGTAGAGTGGGCGAGCTGCGAGTCGCGTGAATGTTGTATGCGAGTGCGTTTAGAAGACGGCTCGGCGAGGGAAGTTGATATGTTTGATGTGCGCGCGTAATCAGCCACAGGGCTATGCTCCTCGCGTTTCTTCACAACGCTTACGCTTAGCGACGCGTCGGATTCCCATCCTACATGAGCACATAGACAGACGGCGGCGGCGTGGGACTATGGGGGATCCTCAACCAAAGTTTCGGCGCGAGGATTTTGGCGTCGAAGATGGCTGTCGACGTTGAGGCGCGCTAATTCGCCCGAGCAGCCCAGCCGGTGATTGCCGGTCAAGTATCAACACGACTCGCGAATCACAGGTCTTATTCTCCATCTGCAAACCAGGAATCCCTTAGAAAGCGTTAACAACGCTCGGTAACGACGCTAACAGCAGTAAGAGCCGGTAAGCGTTTCAAACGACCGCAAGAGCTCCCGCCTCGTGTTGGAACCGCGCCGCACACATTTTCGACGTTATCATTTCGTCCCTCCCTTCTGTTATTAGGCATCATCCTGCTAGTCCTTGAAAATACCTCTCGGCCTATGCAATTTTGACGCGAAAAGATGCAGGGGCTGCGAGGATACAGGCGCCACAAACAAGCCACGACCCGCGCGAACCTTGTCGGCCATCGCCGAGGCACGCGAGAGCCACGCTTTCTTGACGCTTTCTGGCCGTTTGAAACGCTTAACGGCTCTTACCGTCGTTAGCGTCGTTACCGAGCGTTGTTAACGCTTTCTAAGGGATTCCTGGTTTGCAGATGTCCACCACTACCATGCGCAAAAGTGGGGTAGCCTGCACAATAACATGGCGCTTTTGCCAATACCTCCCTGTTCTCCTTCTTGACTCCGTGAATGGATACTAAGCCACGGTCATCAAGAGCTCTCTCGCATTCTCGGCGTTGATTCTTGACGTTTACGGTCAGCTTCTTGCAACTTGTGGATCCACTAAGGAAAAGAGGATGCTTTTTCAGGACGGCACGAGGCTTCCCGATGGTCTGATAATCACCTCATGGTGTAGGCCTGAGGGTTACGCTTATCCTCGTGTTGTAGGCCTTCTATCAAGGTCAACCCGACACCGAGAACGCCGCGTCTGTGGCAAAGCGCTAGGCTGGTCGCACTTCAACCGAAGTGTGGCACCACCAAGATCCTCCTCTGTCCACCATCCCTTGCGTAGACATGTCGAACAACACCCCCGGTCTTGAAAATCTCTCGTCTTTGATTCCTCACATCTTTCTTCCCGTCAAGCTCCCTCAGGCCGCGCAGGAGGCCAACGACGAGCAGGCTACTAGTCGCCTCCTTTGTGAAGTGCTCAAGCAGAGTGCTGAGGCATTCAAGGCGCTCGTTCCCGAGGATCAGCGGGCACAATGGAACACGATCATTCGGATGCTAGACAACGTTCAAGACTTCGTGAACGTCGCCATGAGCCCAACCAGTCTCTCGATCTCCTTGGACAACATGAGGGTTACCGGTGCGTCAAACCATTACTGACGTTATTTGTTCACTAATCAATATTTTCTCAGATGTACTTACACTGCACATACGCGCACAAAACGCAGCGGTCGTCGTGCGGAAGCGAGATGAAGAAACCATCTTCGAAGTCTTCGAAGCGTCGCCTCCCAACGAGGTCGTGTACTCTACCCCCGGAAAGCTGCTGATCGACTATCCCGGCCCTGCGATCTCGGTACCTGTGAACGTTTGTTCGACTCAAGGCTTTCGCGATAACCTGGCCTTGTTTCTCTCCAGTATGGACGTCGATGCTCTCGATGCTACGCCCAAAACGTCAAAAGCAGGCGCTGAGGTAGATGAAGTGCGCAACACGGCGGATCCAAAGTATATATCCCAGTTGCTTGTTGGTATTCTGCATGGTGTACCTGGTTCATCGAACCCAGACGCGCGTCGCGTTACCAAGCACGTCGCCGACGAAGTCATGTGGAGCAATGCCTTCAAACCGTGGCGCAGGCTTCCTTTGTGGCTCATCCTACGCGTTTCCATACAGACGACACTGGCGACCAAGACGCATTACAAGGCATTCATTCTCTTTTTCATGGCTCGCACATTATCGCTATGCATCAGGGACGAGCGCACGGAGCGCTCGTACTCGAGCGATCTCCTTTTCAACATCCGGTCAAAGGTCGCTCGGCGTTTTGCTAAGTTAGGAGACGCGACGCCCAACTTCGTTCAGACAGCTGTCACGGCGGTTGGAGATCGTATCCAAGCCATATTGGAGCAGCGGTGGACTTCCGTCCAGGCTGCACAGTCCCAGTCTGCGCCATGGAACCCACCGTCTTCGGAACAGATGCGACGTGATACCTGGCTCTCCCTGACTACGTCCTTACCGTACCTCGAGAGAGCACTCGAGGACGATGGACATGCGGGCCAGCAGCTGCCTTTCTCTCCATCTCATCCCAAGCGCTTCCTCGGTACTACAGACTTCGAAGTTTTCGCCAATGGCCGTCTCACTTCGGCTGTGACTGAAGATTCCCCTTATCTCGTTTTGGCCGACTTCGAGGGATGCGTGCTACTTTCTCTCGACGACTGGAGCACCCGCATCCCTTCCGACAAAACTACGTACGGCAAGACTTCCCGCGAACACGCCTCACAGACACTGCTGTCTTGCTTTGATCAATACCGCGAGAGCACCGCCAGACATTACAAGTCCGGTCATCCCGAGGACCAATCTATCGCTGCGTTGACGCTACTCGCCCTGTGGCGCGCGCTCGATCGCGTTGCTATCAAGGAACACCCCCTCCTCAAAAGCTTTCGCCCAGAGATCCCGGAGGATCTCCTTGAGCCCCTCGTGCTTCGAGATCAAAGCAATGTCCAACTTGCGCGCGACATTGAGGTTTACATACGGGGCCGCTATACGCGGGCATCAGCGGGAGCTATCTCGCTGTTTGAGACGTCGTCTCAGCGGTCGTCGTTTGCCCTGCGGACTTTCCACGAACGGCAAGAGTTGCAGCGCCTGAAAAGCGAGATTGAGGACCGCGCTACACGCGAGAGACAGCAGAAGCGCCAGGAATTGCGGCGCCTCAATGACACCTACCGTGATCTCAAGAGGCAGTCTGCTGCGCTCGATTGCACATACGTGACCCGGGTCGGTTATTGGGGCGGTCGACGACAGGAATGGGAAGAGCACTCCGGGAGTTGCCAGCGTTGCCAGCTAATCGCGGAAGCAGAGAGACTACAAATCAAAGTCCACGAATGGCCTCTTCCTTCCGGCGATGGTGCAGCAGAAATGGTGGTCTTCGAGCTCGCCTGTCCTCCTGTATATTCAAGGTGGCGCGATCTTACGTACCGCGTTCTCACGTCTGTTGGGAGACTAGGATCGTCCCAGGATAAAGCCTCTCCTTACAAGACCTTGGACGCCTACGATGCTTTGTCGGCTTCCTACACTGCGCGCTCTTCCCCCTTCAAGCTGGCATCTGACGCAAAGCCCTTTGTTGTGTGCCATTATCGTGAGACGAAGATCAAGGGCAATACACCGGAATCGGAAGTCTGTGTTAATAACGGCTTGATTCCTTACCTGTATCATTCCACTCAGCACGTTCGGCTCTCCTCTACGCCTCTCTCGACATGCAGTCTCGTCCATCTATGTTCTCCGGCACTTGATTCTCGTAGCCCGTACCGCGTTCTCCAGCAAACAATCGACTTCACGACACACACCTCCAACGAAGTTCTCGCAGACCAAGTGTCGTGTGCCAAGGAGCTCAGCCTTCATGAGTACATAACATTCGCGTCCATGCGCTCGGGCGGCCGCCTTCAGTGGTTGAACATCTTACGCGAACTTCGGGCTCGTACGCTCACTTTCAGCGCCCCCGAGGTATATCACCTTATCACGCAGACCATCTGGCAGCTCGGGCCCCTCGCACCTGGCCAAATGCATCGCGATTGGCACATGCAACTCGAAGACCACCCCTTCTCCGCGTCCGTGATGAGGGAAGCGCTTGCACTCTTGCAGAGTGTGGGAGAAAATTGGAAGGAAACGGGAACAGTCCACATCATAGGTTCGCTCATTCTCACGTCCGCCTCCGTACACCGTCGCTGACAACCTCCAGTGGCTATCGTTCTTAGAGTCCTCGATGCGTCTCCGCACGATGCCGTGCAAGAAGAAGCGCGCGCGGTGCTTCGTGAGGCTCGCAGGCTAGCAGCGCTTTTCCGCGATAACTTGCACGAACGTCTCCGCAGCGTACCGGAAGTTGGCCTTGCCGCGGCTCAGCGCCTCGTGTGTGAAGCTGCCGCGGTATGCGCGATGACGTTCGACGTTCCGAGTGCCCATCTCTCTACCTTGCTCGACTCTCCGAACGATGTCTACGAAGTAGTTAGGAGCTTGATACTGGTACAGGAGAACCACCCCTCGCAGCTAGCGAGCGCCCCGCTTCATATCCAACTCCTACTGTGCCGCCACAACCGAGTTGCGCGTCGGGTAGAGTCAAATCTCCGTACGCGCGTGCTCGACTTCCCGGAGGGTATGCATCGCGCACTCCATTCGCTTTGGTCCGGCTACTCGTCGGATGGCCCGTGGCTTACGCTCAACGTCCCCAACGAGCGCCAAATTACGCGCACTTTGGGCACAGGTCATATCGCGCACTTCAACATATTGACCGGCTTACTTCTTGTCAATGGACGCCCACTCGGCCGACTACCCTCGAATATGACTGCTCATCCGGTGTTCCGACGTCTTCTGGGACAGGTTCGTGACTGGCCCCTACGTAGTGCAAATGATCTTACTGACTTGCTGTATAGGCTATACTGGATGTCATACCCGCTGCGGATCCATACATGGAGTACGAGACACGCGCATCGGTCTCAGGATGGACGGTACGAATTGTAGATGCTTACCCTGTTGGTGCCCAATCTAATGCTGTGCCAGCTCGCCTTCGCAATGAGGGCTAATAGCCGCCTCATCATTCGCGCGCACCTGGAATCAAATAGACTGGAATTCATCCCCCCTGAAACATTCCGAGGAGATGTTCCTGACTTGCTTGTCGACGACTGTGCTCATTGGTTGGACCTAGACACTGGAGACGTGGAGTTTCGTCCACTTGACTCTCGTTGGACTAGAGACGGCAGTAATTGGCGCTTGACCGGTGTCCAGCACCATCATCGGATTTTGATGCGGCGTCTGGGCACATCGCCTGAACAGAAATTGGTCGACCCACGAAGTGCGACTTTCCGTACTCTTCATAGTTGCCTAGGACTACTCGAGCGTTCCGGCTTCATCTGTCTGAGCCTGAGAGAAGACATACTCTCGGCCGAATTACCCCGCTTTCGTCTCTCTTTCTTTGTCAACATACTAGGGCAACTCCAGATATCAAACTTCAAGGACATGATCGTGGACGAGGACCAGTCGTCCGGCACCTTCTTTGGCCTACGCAATCAGCTCGTCTTACGAGCGAAGGACCCAGATGATCGCACCCTGCCCCGCTCACGCCGTGTTCTTGTCCCGGACGGCCAGCTCTCGTATGGCCTTTCGGGCAGTCACGTCACCGCTTCTATTCAGATCAGCGGCTCGCCACGCTTAATTGCATATCACGTCTTTGTCATCGATAATGATCTCCGGTGCCTGTCGACCAGTTCGGGAACGACGTCGCTTCTCTTTCAGTGCCTACTACACGCCGTCACGAGCAGCCGTCTACCTGACCCCTTGACCGGTCGCACTGGAACGGAGCAAGCCTTAATCAACTTATCCAGCACTCGCCTCAAGTCATTAACTCATCTTTCAGACCAGGACTTGTTCTTGCTACACGACATCGCATCACTGTCTCCTCTGCGAGCATTCTATCCACCGCACCTCACGGTCATGCAGCAGGTGAACTGGTGCAATCTCCCTCCCCTGTCGCAGCACGCGGGGTTTAAGACCGCTGCTGATCTACTTCTTTCAATGGCCCGAGATTTGGAACTATTCCGAGAACGTGCTCGGGACGAGACTACTCGTGACTGGAGTATTGCTGACGTCGAGCGTGACGGGAGGCTCATCGAGCGGTCTTTGCGCCGAAGCGGCGTTCTCTACTGCCCGGACATCTCCGACACTGTTACGATGTGGTGCAAGCAACCGGGTCTCTGCGCGCGGCGCGCTAGGTGTATATGCAGCGATCGTCCTCTTCACCTTGCAGCCCGGCATTCCCCCAACTCGCCAGCACATGTTGAGGTCGAATCATCAATCGCAGAGCTTTCAAGAGAGCTGCAGGCCGGAACGTCGGACATGAAGAGTACATATTTCGACATTCTCGCCATGCTCGAAAAGTACCAGAACGTTGGCGGAGAGCGAGATCTCACATTGTCGTATAGCTCTCTGTGGCTGAGCCCCGAGGTTCTCGGTGCCAACTGGTTCGCACTCTACGATCAGTACATTCATTACGTAGACTCTCCTGGTTTAGGAAGCAGGATGCAAGTTCTTTTCAGTCTCTGCAGTCTTGCATTCACCAGGCCGGACTTGCGACCAACGGCAAAAGCTATCCTTGCGATGTGCCTAAACGACAGGCTGCGTGCGGAACCCATACCTGTGCATACACCCCTTGATCTTTCTCGTGGTTACCGTCCCACGTGGGAAACCATAGAGACGCTCCGCTCGGGAAAAGATCGAGCATGGAGAAACACGCCGGCAGGGTCTCTATCATCCGAGCCTGGCGAAAGTCGCAGCGCATACCAAAACCGGCAACACCAGTACTACGGACAGAGACTACAGAGCGCTCGAACTCGCCTTGTCACAACGATCCTGGCCTATTGGCCTCGCACGGATGTGCGAAACCTCATGACGGACGACATAGACGACTGGATAAATGTTCGTCCAGTTCTTGAAGGCGCACAAATATACTTCGAGAGCTGCAGTCGCAACCTGGCCTTTGCAGATCATATCCGCCGCGTCCAGGCACTTTTACGCGTGGGAGCCCGTGTATTTCCCAACAGCATTGCACCGCTTCCCGATCTACACCCCCGTTCGGCGTCTTCCATCACTGCACACGACAATATCACCGACTCCCTCCTGTCATTGTTCACCAAACGACAATCTTCATTGCCAATCGAGCTCGTGCCAATTGGACCCGAAGTCGCGCTACCGGACCAGGCAAGATGTCACGAGACACACGGGGACGCTTCCAACGTGAATGCATTGTTGGACAGTTTGACGAGCAGCTCAGCCAGCAAGGGCATCCTGAAGGCCTACTTAGAAGGGCTACGTGATAGTGTGCAGAGCTTGACTGCGCCTTCGTCCATGACGAGCTCTCGATCTTCTGACGTACCCACGGTGCCTGCTCTTCGCGTGGAAAGAGATGTCCGAGCCGCTCGCATGAGGTCGGCTTTCGGGCAGCTTTGCCTGGCCTTACTTCCGATTTCGGCTGCTGAGCAGCAGCTACACGCTTCTGGACTATGGCCTCGCGTGACAGAACCAATCTTACTCTCCACCATGAGCTTCAGCCAGCGATCTCTTGTTCCGGAGGCGTGGATGCGGTGTTTGTTATCGTACGGACAGCTTATGCTGGCGTATCAAAGGGCTCAGCGCCTGCTAGAGCACAACTTATGCGGAAGACGGGAAGAACTAGTGAAGGAGTTACAGAATACGACCTTGGAAGATGACAGCCTTACTGTTCATCACGATGGCATTGAGGCTGATTGGACTCTTGTTCAGGTACGTAGGACTGTGCTCATGATTGACGCAAGCGCTGATATCGCCATTCAGATCGAAAACTCTTTCCTTGCCCGCCCCGTCCAACGCGCCGTCGCTCGCCAGATGATATCGCCATCCCCTCTAGAGAACTCCCTTCAACAGCTCAATATGGGAGAGGGGAAGAGCTCGGTGATCGTGCCTTTCATAGTAACCGCCCTTGCGCGCGGAGCCAAGCTTGTCCGAGTCGTCGTACTCAAAGCATTGAGCAACCAGATGTTCAATCTGCTGGTGGATCGTCTGAGTGGCCTCGCGGGTCGACGAGTCTTATGTCTTCCTTTCTCCCGAGGCGTGGACTTATCCCAGAATCTACTGCGCAAGATGGAGGCCCTATACAAGGAGTGCGCTCGTACAGGAGGAGTTTTAGTCATGCAGCCAGAACATGCGCTATCGTTCAAGCTGATGGCTCTCGACTATCTGACCGGCGGCGCTCGGGTTAACGGTGTCGCGCCGTTGTTGTGGGACCTGCAACAGTGGGTCGATAGTCACACGCGAGACGTACTCGACGAGAGTGACGAGCTCCTGCACGCCCGCTATCAACTCATATATACTGTCGGTCTGCAACAGCCCATGGATAATCACCCGTTCCGCTGGACTATCATTCAGCAGGTTCTCCTGGTTCTGAAACGTTGTTTGGAAGTGATGGCAGCAAACCATCCGCACGACATTCTCTTCGGCGCTCAGCCACCTGGCCAATTTCCATACATCCGCCTTCTCACTGCCAACGTCGATGAGGAGCTGACCATGGGCGTTGTCAACCGCGTGATGTCCGGTCACATCCCTGACTTGCACTTTTCTGCGCTTCCAGCTGAGACACGAAATGCCATCACTCGATTTATAGGCTCGCACGACTTGAGTGATGACACGCGTGTTCTCGTCAAAGATCAGCTCTCGGAAGGCGATTGGAAAGGGGTACTTCTGCTTCGCGGGCTGCTCGCGCTTGGGACAGGTGTTCTGCTGTATGTACTTAAGCAGCGGCGCTGGCGTGTGGACTTTGGTCTTGACCCAACGCGCTCGCAATTAGCAGTGCCGTATCGCGCCAAGGTCTGCGATCTACCCATTCGACGCACTCGGTGCAATATACTGACAGAGCCTTCTCGTAGGACGTGCCAAGTCTCAAAGCGGAATTCGGACATCCCGACGTCGCCATCACGCTCACCTGCATATCCTACTACTACGGCGGTCTGACAGAGCAGCAGGTGTCCCAATGCTTCACCCTGCTTCTGAAGATGGACGACCCGCAGCGCGAGTACGCGGAATGGGTTGATGTCGGCGGCCGCGACGTTCCCAGCACCATCAGACAGCTTTCAGGCGTCAACCTCGATGATAGAGGACTAGTCGAGGCTGTCCTAGTGCCGACTTTTTCGTACAACTACGCCGTCATCAACTTTTTCCTCTCTCATGCTGTCTTTCCGCGAGAGGCGAAGGAGTTTCCGCACAAACTAGGCACCTCAGCGTGGGACCTCGCCGAGCGCAAACCAAACGTTACAACTGGTTTCAGCGGCACGAAGGACAACCGATTTTTACTCCCTACGTCTATCTCGCAGAAGGATCTTCCAGAGCAGCGAGGAACGGATGCGCTGGTGCTGTCGCATATGTTGCAGCCCGAGAACAGCTATGCTGCATACACCGGCACCCGATCCGGCGAAGGCTATTTGCAATTCATCGTGTCACAGAAGCCGGTAATCCGCGTCGTGCTGGACGTCGGTGCGCAGATGTTGGACTTGAAGAATGAAGCTTTTGCACGAGTTTGGCTCGAGCTTTGCGACGAGAGCGTACAGGCAGCTATCTTCTTCAAAGACGATGATCTCGCAGTCGTAACTCGCGATGGTGTCGTGGAACGTTTACGGTCATCTTCTTTCAGCGAACAGCTCGACAGGTGCATCATATATCTCGACGACGTACATACACGCGGAACCGATCTCAAGCTCCCAAAAGACTACCGTGCGGCGTTGACGGTGGGACAAAAGGTCACGAAGGACCGCCTAGTCCAAGGTGAATCAATCTCATGATTTACACGGGATAGGCAAACTTACTATAATATCCAGGCGCGATGCGCATGCGCAAACTTGGTTATGGGCAATCAGTGATGATCCTAGCGCCGGAGGATATCGACCGGGCGATCAGGAGGGCGGCCGGGCTCGACACTTTCGCGATCGTTCAAGTCCGCCATGTATTGCAATGGGCAATGTTGGAAACTTGCGAGGACATCAGTCAACATATCCCGCACTGGGCGGAGCAGGGTGTTGACTATCAACGCCGGCTCCAAGGCGTGAACTCATACATCGCAACGTCCGACACAGACATCCTACGCGACACTTGGATGCGACAGGAGGCTCGGACCCTCGACGAGGTTAGTAGCCGCAAGCTGAGCTGATGCTATATTAAGCTGACGTATGATCTCTCCAGATGTACGGTACGACAACATCCGCGCATGAGAATCACGAGCTGTGGGAGAGCGTACAAAAGCACACTGATATCATGGCTCGCTTGTCAACCATGGGCATCAATTCCATTGGCAGCGCTCGGCTCTCCGAGGAGCAGGAAAGGGAGGTCGTCTTGGAAGTAGAGCGCGAGCGACAGGTAGAGCGCCCACCCAAGGCACAGCCGGCTCGGCATCACTTGCATCAAGACGTCCTGGAGTTCGTCCGAACCGGCGCTATCCCCGCGTCATCGACGCAGTTCGTCAATCTCTTCACCCCATTGAATCGTGATGGAGACGCTTGGGATCCTCGACTCCTCGCAACGCGGGACTTCTCCGCTGTCCTCGACGCTCACCACTCGCTATCGGGCCTTCACGAGTATCTGCGACCACTGGCTTGGGTTCTATCCCAGGGCGTGGACGGTCCATCGGCGCATATCCGGCTTGTTGTCATCTCACCATTCGAGGCCAACCAGTTACTGCCCATCCTGCGCACCAATGCTTCCGGAGTACGCCTGCACATCTTCACCCCACGGCTTGTTAGGAGTATGCCCTCTGTGTCGAATCTTCGTCTCTACAGCATCCCAGCGCTTCCGAGTGGCAATTGGTCTGTGCCTACGGAGTTGCAGCTTCACTTGTCCCTGATTGCAGGTGGACTGTGGATGGACGATCACGCGTCGTACAAGCTTCTATGCAAGTTCCTCGGCCTGTACATGGGCTACGCGGACACCGAGATAGATCGCCTACGGGACGGCGCTCACATCGCTAGCGACGGCTTCGTCCGGCCCGGCGGGCGCGCGCTGGTTGCGGACCCATCCCAATTCCGCGAAAGCCCTGTTGAGCGTCTTCGTGAGCTTATCGGCCTGAGGAGGAAGGGAGTGGCGTACCTATCGACTCACATGGGGCGGATCCTCACTGCGCGCGAGCTGGAGGAGAGCGCCTTCGACGTGCCTGTGTAGAATGTGAGTCTTGGGCATTCCGAGTCAAGCGTGCGTTGTACACGACTCACACATCGCTACCTCAGGTTGGCCATTGCATCGTATTTTGAACGAGATAAGCTGTGCTGCATCTTGACTGGTGAATAACGTCGTTTCCAATCCTTGGTGTCCAAGAGCTGACGATTTGATGCGCAGACTCTGTAGACTTTGTGTGTTTGTATGCTCAAATTGTGCCTGTTCTGTATTCGTCACCTTGACCTGGACTGTCTATCATCTGTATATCGTCTGACGTTGACTGTTGTAAATTGTAAATTGTATGTGGATTGCTGGAGAATAGACAGCAGGACAAAGCAAAACGACAAGAATGTCCAAGTATGACTGAAGCACGAACAGAATGTCCAGATCACGACAGCGCCCTTACGCCAGAAGTCCCTTGACGTACTTCAACAACTCGCGCCCCTAGTGACCGAGGTCAACCAGAATTCTTTCAGCTTTAGAAGAGTACTCACCCCTTTACTCTTGACGTCAGCTACCATGGCTTGGACGGGGTCGGCCATCTCCACGTCGCGCTCGCTTTGGGCGCTGGCAGTGTTGCCAGTAGGTCCAAAGACATCAGCCGTAGAATCTTGAGACGTCCTTGGCCCGGTGGCAGAACGATGGCGCAGTACGACGGTCAACACGGCGCGCCATCCCTCAACTAGACTACTGTTCGCGAGCCCGGCTACGCTGCTAGTTGACGCCGGTGTAGCAGATGATGCGACAGGGAGGGTTGGTATGTTTGCGGAACGCGTGACGTAAGGACAGTACGGCCTGTGCTCCTTGAGGACATCCACCTGCCGCGAAGCCGGTGAAGGCACTGAGGCCGTCGGTGTAAGGAGAGATGCGCCTGACGCCCATAGACCCAACCGGCGGTGGCACATCGCGCAGTAGAGCATCTTTGATTGATGTTCCGGTGCAGCGCTGGCGCGAGGCGTACTGAGAAGTCGAGAGCTTAGACGGCTAAGAAGTGGCGGCGTGGCTGGTACCGGAGAGGCTCCGCGCGCCGCTAGATGCGAAGGGCGACGCGGTGTCACAGGAGCGCCTGGGGCGACCGAACCTGCGCGAGAACGGGCAGGTGTACCGGGACGAGAGGGCGTCGCAGCTGGTACTGGCATTGGAGGGGCAATTGACCAGCCGAACAGGGCTGCCAGGGCTGCAGCTTGGTTTGGCTGAGGTTCAAGAGCCGGAGGCGCTTGCTGAGTTGGTTCAGAGCCATCCACGTCCATGCTGAACGTGAAGTCGGTTGTCTTGACAGATGCCAATACTTTCAGCAGGGATGAAACTTGGCTTGAAACCTGATAGTACTAGTCAGCACATCGCCCAATAGATTTGGCAGAATGGATGCACGAACGAGCGGGTGCTTAATCTCGATATCCTCCAGGAGAGGTTCAAGCTGCAGGGCGCGAGACTTGATGTCCTTAGCCATCATAGCGGGTGCAAGTAGTTGAACACGATATACGTCAGCTGTCGGGTCGGTCAGGAAGCTGCTATTGAAGTATATGCACGTTCACTGACCGTCGCATTGCCGGACTCTCCAGGGACATCCATCTTTGTGCCCCTCTATGAGCTGAACCCGTTGCTTCTTGACGAGGGTGGCCGCTATAGTGCCAGTGAGACCGGGCAGCATGTGCTTGACGTTGAAAGACACCAACCCGCATCCTTGTTCATCTTCTCCCGCCCTACGACCACCCATGACGCATCACATAACCCACACTTCAACCTATCCTTCCCGTCGTTCACCCATCCACACTTCGACGCTGCGACTGCATCGATCTCCGGAGGCTTGTTCGAGTAGGTATTAAGTTTGTACGTCTCCAGCCGCGCAAGGAAAGACGCGGTCGAGGAAGGCCGGTAATCATGGGCAATATTCGATGGCCGTCGTGCGAAGTTGAAGGGCTTCCGAGTCTTGGTTGCCGTGCGTGCCAAAAGTGCGGCCAGACGCGGTGCCTTTGAGAGATCGCCAGATTTACTAGTGGACCTATAGAAAGATTTAGTATACGATTTGATCGTAGGCGGACGCGTTCTTACGTACGCTGCCTCATCCTTCGACTTGATACCACCGTACTTTGATAGAGAGGAATATAGCGACTTGATGGTGTTCTGACGCTTTGGCACTGGACCTGAGTTCGCAACAGCGTCATCTAGGCTGATAAAGGCATCCTGAAGCTTGCGCTGAACGAGGGGTTAATGGAATGGTATGCTTCGAGTTTCAGACACCCACTTTGTTCGGTCTTGAGTCTGAAGATGGGGACGCGTCCATGACAGTATGCGTCGAAACTTGCTAAGAATCAGGGGTAGCGGGTACAAGAGGCGATACGGTAGTGGAGGTGTCAGTCGCGGTCAAGGTACAACTTGAACTCGGCGCCTCGCGCGCAGGACGCGTCCAAGGTGAGGACACGGTCACGTGGGTTGCCCAGAAACGCGTCAAAAGTACAAGAATGAGGGTGGCGACGTTCACCGGCACATGAAGCCTCATTGTAGCAGCCCAGAGCTTAATAGTCATGGAAGCTCATATTCTAGAGCTTTGTTTTCGTCTTTTCCCTTCAGAACGCCATAAGTAGGCTAGCGCTTGCCAAACAGCTTGCACCAGCCTCCCACGAGAAGAATCCAGGCCCTTCATTTGCCGCGAAATGCCCTCCAAGCGTGTGTCGAAACGCTTACGCAGCGCTGTTGTAGGGTGAGTTTCATCTTGCATCAGCACACGTTTGTTCTGTCCGTGCGGGTCACCTACGACCTGGGCGACGGGTTGATGTCTTTCGAAAAGAATGGCAGGCCGATGGGCATTCTAGTGCTAAGTGAACGGGAGATGGTCGCAATTCTTTACCAAAGATGGACAGCATCTTATGTGTGATCTCGTAGTAGTGTCTTATAGACACTGTCGCTCCGGCATGGAACGACCAGGAAGTGGCATTATACGTACTTTCATCGTCTTCCCAGGCGTGCACCTCGGGCCGAATCATGAGCTCATCGTACATCAAGGCCAGAAGTACTAAGGGTGAGTCTGAGAGGTTACTTTGAAGGGTCTGCAGCTTTCCGGAGTAAACGCTTCGGCGGCATGCGTGCACGCCGGTGTCCTAGAGAGGCTGTAGTGCTCTCGCTGTCCTGACAAACGAGCACTCCAGTCAACATATATAAAGACACAGACATTCTCGTGTCAGAGCGCGGTCACATGAGTTGATGGGGAACCTTCGTACGAATAGGAAACTGCGGAGATGCTTCACGGTCTCGGGGACCCGTAGCCTAGTAGCCATCATTGCCTTCCACAACACGATAGGCAGGCCCGCCCTTTCCAAACATCTTGCGCAAATCGCCTACGAGGAGCTCGGGTACCTCGTAAGCGGCGAAATGGCCTCCGCGTTCGTGACGAACCGATTGCACAACTCGGTCACCGTAAGGTGAGATCCACCTATCGGCCCATGAGAATGTCACTGCTAATCATGTCGTGCTGACTCACGATTCAGGCGGCGTCGTGGGCTCTCCAGCAAAGACGGATATCCCGATAGGTACGTTGACGTCGTAGACCTTGAACAGCATTCCCGGGTCGATCTCGGGACCGAGTCCTGCCACTCTCGACTCGTAGTAGATCCGTGTAGATGCCGTCGGTCCAGCACGCGAGAACCAATAGATGGATACCCAGGTCAATACTGTTAGTAGTGTCAGAACATGATATTGTTACGGTAGTAAGCATGAGTGTCACGACTGACCCTCGTCATCAGTCCACGTGTAGGCATCGGTCCAAGCCACCAGCTTTTCGTATATCCAGGCAAGTAGTCCTACAGGCGAGTCGGAGAGACTATAACCCAGCGTCTGCGGCTTCGTGGCTTGCTGGAACATGTAGCCCGTGTCAGTCTTCATGACGTCGTCCATCCGCTTCAGTGTCGCCTGATCGCGTTCACTGTACTGAATATCGGCACCGGGTGCCTTCAGCTCCGGCGTATCTGTGTACCATGCCTTCACATGAGTTGGCCCGTACATGTTCGCGACTAGCATGGTGACCTACGGCTATGATCAGCGAGTACCGAGAAAGATAGACGGGCGGATCTTACCACATATCCATAGTCCCCGCCTTGGCAGACGTACTCGTTATAACCGAGCGCGAGCATCAATTTGTGACTGATCTGAATGCCGCTTTCAGCATCTGCCTGGATTCAAGAGGCATAGACCTCACCTCGGCCATCTGCTGTGGACCCAGTCCCGGTTTCTTCGCCGCTTCAGAGAACCCGTACCCTGGGAGCGAAAGTGCAACAACATGGAAGGCCGGCGCGTTCTCATCGTCGGGCGTGACAAGTAGAGGTAGTATCTTCCGAGCCTCTATAAAGCTTCCCGGCCCTAGGACGCCGGAAGCATCAGTTGCCATATGACTATGAGAACGTAGCACACACAGCCATGGACGAAGAGTAGCGGGATGGCTCCGGGGATCGCGCTCCGCTGATGAATGTAGTGAATGTTGAGCGCTCCGTGTCCCTCGACGGCGATGTCGCGAGTAAACATGGGGAGCTCCTTATTCAGTGCGGCTTCGGCCGCGCGCCAATCGAACCTGAGCAGAATTAGCCTGTGTGAGACTGAGATTTTTTGCGTTGCCGACAACATACCCATCCTTCCACCGTCTGAGTAGACGCTCAATGTCAGCTCGGGGAGCACCATAATCCCACCCTGCTCCCTCGAGCTCGTCAGGCAAACGCGTAAGGTCCAGCTTTCGCTTCAAAAGATCGAGCTGGTCGTTCGGAACGGAGATAGTGAAGGGTTGTTCAGCCATCGGGAAGAGAACTGGTGAGGGGGGCAGGACTGTCTGTAGCTATTTAAGTCGCACTCAGACGCCAGCGCATTGACCATAGTATTGAGATAGTGCTCACCAGTTCAACAAGAAGCCCGCTGGTATCAGATTATGGTCGGTATTTTCAATGGGAGCCCCCTGAACAAGGCATCACGATCAGCCGCTAATGACTGGGCTGAGAGAATATCAGCAACCCATGCCATTGGGAGTGACTCTTGTGAGAGGAAGACTGTACCTCGCGAGCTATGCCCCATATACTGCGCTCACGACGGGGTCGATGTGGTACACGATAAGCTTCTCCTATCACGCAAGAGCCATTCGGCGCAGCCTCCATGGTCAGAGAGGGCCGTAGTGTGAATCTCATGTAAGTATTCAGTCTATAGATAAGGCAGGATATGAGGGATATGACGCGTGTGGATCGATATCGTGATCGTCGAGAAGGCAACGAGCAGCATTTGAATAGGCTTAGAGAACGTGGCTCTATTTGCTCATGTTTGCAGAACATCGGCTCTCCGGGCCGATACCTCACCACCGACTGTTGACGTACCCGCAGATCGCGCCTCACTCTCCTCCAGACTAACTTTCCGCTATTCTTCCATCGCAACAGCTTTGAAGACGTGTAACCAGGCCGTGTGCAAGTACAGGGCCGTGGACGACCTTGTGACAAGTCTCATATGCATGCATTGTACAGTGCATACTCATATTCCATGGCTTTAAGGCAGTTGTACAAGAATCCCTCGCTCGCTTATAGACATGTCAACGACCAATCAATACCCGTCGTTCTTCTTCACGACTCCATAAGCTTTACCCTCCTTCCCGAACATCTTTCGCAGGTCTCCTACGAGAAGATCGGGCACCTCATAGGCGGCGAAATGTCCGCCGCGTTCGTGTCGTACAGACTGCACAACTTGACCGTGCGGAGGGACGTACCTAGAGGTCGTCCGCTGTCAGCATCTACCTGGCGTCATATCTCATACACTCACGACTCGGGTGGCGTACTGATCTCTCGGGGGAAGAAGGACAGGCCGATGGGTACATTGACTTTGAACACATTGAAGAGAGCCCCCGGTTCACTGCTGGATCCACCCGCCATTGCCTCATAGTAGAGCCGCGTAGATGCCGTAGGCCCAGCTCGAGAGAACCAGTAAATGGAGATCCAGGTCAGAACTAGCGTCAGCTCACGACGTCGCCCCTCGCTCCGGCAAACAGTAAAACGAACCCTCATCCTCATTCCATGAATATGCATCGGTCCACGCTACCAGCTTCTCGTATATCCAAGCGAGCAGTCCAACCGGAGAGTCGGAAAGACTATATCCGAGCGTCTGGGGCTTCGTGCTTTGGATGGCCATGTACCCTGATCCTGTCTTCAAGAAATCCTCAAGACGATTGATTGCCGCGCGGTCGCGCTCGTTGTACTGGGAGATGTCATCTGGTCTCTTCATCTCTAGGTCTGGCATGTTTGTGTGCCACGCCTTCGCGTGTTTAGGCCCATAGATGCTTGCGATGATCATGGTGATCTAGGATCATGATATTGGACATTGTCAGAGAGGACGGAACGAAGAATGATGATTGTACCAGTCCTCACCAGGCATCCCCAGTCTCCACCCTGGCAAACATACTCGTCGTATCTCAGGGCAAGCATTAGCTTGTGGCCCACCTGACGCGAGGACATTAGCTGCTTGTATACCCACTTCCAATGAGCGGAATGCACTTCAGCCATCTGCTTCGGGCCAAAACCCGGCTTCTTCGGGGCTTCGGAGAACCCATAGCCAGGAAGCCCAAGGGCGACAACATGGAAAGCTGGCGCATCGGGATTGTTGGGCGTAACGAGTAGAGGCAAGATCTTGCGAACTTCGATGAAGCTTCCAGGCCCTGTGATGCATGAAGTCGTAAGCCGTCTGGTGGCGACGCGGTTCGGTGGCGAGACATACAGCCGTGCACAAAGAGTAGCGGGATGGCTCCAGCGGTGGTGCTCTTCTGATGAACGTAGTGAACGTTAAGCGCGCCGTGACCTTCGACGGAGATGTCGCGTGTGAACATGGGTAGCTCTTTGTTCAAGGCGGCTTCTTCGGTGCGCCAATCGTATCTATTGAGAGTTAGGATAAGTAGGTACACCATTCTTGGTATCCATCTGGATCTCACCCGCTTTTCCACCGTCGGAGCAGCCGCTCGATGTCGGCTCGCGGTGCCCCGTAATCCCAACCTGCACCCTCGAGCTCGTCGGGCAAACGGGTAAGCTCGAGCTTCTTTTGCAAGAGTTCGAGCTGGCAGTCTGGTACGGAGATAGCAAAGGGTTTTTCAGCCATGGCAGAGAGTGCTTGAAATGGGTTGCCCACGAGAAGCGAACGTCCGTCTTATAAGGACTCCTCGAAGCGTCAGCGCCTGGGGTAGTAAGAAGATAGTACTCATCAGGCCTACGATCGGAAGTCCGCTGATGTCAGAAGATCGTCGTTTCTCTCATGTAAGTGGCTCGCATGTTTCAGCCGTGGAGACAGACATGTACAACATGTCGAATCGCATAGCTGGCATGAGGGAAATCGTCGCAAGAAAGTATCGGCCACGGCAACGAATGGTCGTCCTAGCGCATATTTCGTCCACATCTGGCGCCCGCGCTCAAGAGGACCCTTAGGTGATGCTGAGAGATTCGGTGGTCTTCCACGTTGCACAGATCTTCTCGCGCGGTGTGGCAATGGCATCCCGCCCACTACTAGGCAGGTGACGTTCTATGGCCGACCGTGTCATGGTGTATTGGAGAGCGGGCCGCGAAGCGCATGTCGATACCATCATGAGCATCATGGTAAGCTGATGACCGTGCAATCGATGATCAATAGAGCAGGGTGTTTTGTGGATCGTGGTCGTCGAGAAGAAACCCGCGGACGCGACTCCGTTTCTTTGACTCAATGCCGTCGGCGCACTCTCACGCCAGGCTCTCACTTCCGCCTGTGCGAGCTGTCGCTCCGTTTGGTACGACTTCCAAGTCGTACAGCGACTACAATGCAAGTTTCAAAATAGCAATAGACTGGAGACATCTTGTATAATGACTGCTGTAATACAAGGCTACGAGGTGCTGGTGATGGTCGATAACCATCGTGAATTCGAAGATCATGACTGTTGCGAAGTTACAGTGGATGCCCTTGAGTGTGCTGCCTAGTATCCCTTACTCCCCGTTACAACGCCATAGGCAGGACCTTGTCTCCCGAACATCTTTTGTAGGTCTCCGACGAGAAGGTCGGGCACCTCGTAGGCGGCAAGATGCCCGCCCCGATTGTGTCGGGTCGACTGCACGAGTTGACCGTGCGGCGAAACCCATCTGCAAAGCAACACGCGTCATTAGGATTGACACAACATAAAGTTGCCAAGACTCACGATTCAGGTGGCGTATTGATCTCCCCTGGAAAGAAGGATAGCCCAATGGGCACATCAACCTTGAACACCTTGAAGATAGTCCCTTGTTCAGTGCCAGGACCGAATTTTCCCACTCTCGCTTCATAGTAGAGTCGCGTAGATGCGGTCGGCCCAGCTCTGGAGAACCAGTAGATAGAGATCCAGGTTAGAACTGGTGGAAACTTGATTAGCCACTACCTATGAAATACAATTCTCACACGAACCTTCATCATCATTCCATGGATATGCGTCCGTCCACGATATCAGCTTTTCGTATATCCATGCGAGCAGTCCGACGGGCGAGTCGGAAAGGTTGTATCCGAGCGTCTGAGGTTTCGTACTTTGTTCGACTCTATATCCTGCGCCTGTCTTTCGGAAGTTCTCAACACGTTTCAGGGCTGCACGATCGCTCTCGCTATAGTGAGTAGCGGCGTCGGGCCCCGCAGGCACAAGGTCTGGCATGTTCGTATGCCACGCCTTCGCATGCCTAGGTCCATAGGTACTTGCGATGATCATGGTAATCTATGGTGGCGATGGAATGTGTTAGAAGGGACGCAGCGTCAAACGAGCAACGAGTCTCACTAGGCATCCCCAATCTCCTCCTTGACAGACGTATTCGTCGTATCCAAGAGCAAGCATCAGCTTGTGGCCTGTCTAACACGAATGTGTCAATCATTATGATGTTGCGAGCGAACATACCATACCTCGGCCATCTGTTTCGGTCCAAACCCAGGCTTCTTGGGGGCTTCTGAGAACCCATAGCCGGGAAGCCCAAGGGCAACGACGTGAAAAGCCGGCGCATTCGGATCGCTGGGTGTGACGAGTAGAGGCAAGATCTTGCGGACTTCGATGAAGCTCCCTGGCCCTGCGATATACGGGTAAGCTTTGAGACACGTGCAGAAACTGAATTGCGAGACATACAGCCGTGCACGAAGAGCAATGGGATAGCGCCTGGGACCGTACTCTTCTGATGAACGTAGTGAACGTTAAGCGCGTCGTGGCCCGCAACGGAGATGTCGCGTGTGAACATGGGAAGCTCCTCGTTCAACGCGGCCTCTTCAGTGCGCCAGTCGTATCTGTCGAGTGTCAACATAAGCACATGGTCCTCAAAGTTCATCTCTGACTCACCCGTTCTTCCAATGTTGAACGAGTCGCACAACGTCGTTACGGGGGACCCCGTAATCCCAACCGGCACCCTCGAGCTCATCAGGTAGACGCGTGAGGTCGAGTTTCCTGCGCAGAAGGTCGAGCTCGGCATCTGGCACGGAGATGGTGAAGCGCTGCTCAGCCATGGTAAAGAAAGTGGGATGGGGGGTCACACGAGAAGCGCAGATGCTGTCTTAAATGAGTACCCTTAGACTTCGGCGCGCTGGGAAGTATGCATCAGGCTAGCCAAAGGCTGGCAAGAAGCTCGCTGACGTCAGAGGATCGCCATCAGTGGCTTGCGTACGCACAGAAATGTCAAAAGAAATCACGGGATCGTAGTGATGCACTCCAAAATCAGTAATCACCTCGGCGAAGAAGTATTGGCCGGCGTGGCGTGACCGTACTACAGCCTGGAGAGTAGCTGCTCTCGTACTGGAACGGGGAGAACTCTGGTGAGGCACATTCAGCTCCTGAATGACGTTTTGAATGACCAATGAGCTATACCTTGTCTTCGTTACATGTCCTCGTCAAACACCGACTGGCCTCGGAGTAGTGACTGATATACAGGGCAGATGGATAGCATGAACCGGGGCTTAGCCAAGCAACAAATGGCAAGTTATATTATGAAGCATGGCCTGGACATACACAGCTATCCGACACGATACACCAGATCAATCGACGTCCACGCTCGCCCTCCTTACCTGCTTCATCCTCCGCTCCTTGAAGCTCAGTCTGTGCTGTTCCTGCGCGTATTTCAAAGCGCCTACAACAGCCCTCATGCCCTCCAAATCGCCCTTCCTAGCAAATGCCCGGATGAATGTCTTGTACAGCGGCCGAACATGCTTCACGTATGACATAGCACGGCCCGGTATCTCCTCTAGTAGGGAGAGTACATTCTGTGGCCGATCGCGCCATGGTATTTCGAAGGGTGGGCCATTGAGCGAAGGATAGCCGCGACGGATGAGCTCATCGAATAGAGCGCGTGTAGGACATGTCGACCTCCGCAGCGCGCGCCCGACAAGTATATTGAGAGTTATCCGATCGGGAGTGAAACCTAGCGCGGTCTTGAGCGTCTCGATGGTTGCAGCGACATTGCCATCTGTTCGCACTCGACGGTCGCGTTTGTGGACCCAATGACGTAGTAGGACGTTGCCGAGTATCGTGAGCTCCCGTTTCGACAAGCGATGTACAACTGGACGTATGGCGCTCATGAGCTTCTTCTCGCCGCGCATAGCCAGTACGGCGCGCAGAGCCCCAGAGGAAGCGGGGGATCTATGGGGCGGGTACTCCCGTAAGCGCGAGGAGAGCTGCAGCGCCTTACGCCAGCGCTTCCGTACGTCGGGATCGTGAGCGAGGACCGAGAAGTACGGATCTCGTTTGATGCCAGGGTAGGTAATCAAAACCTTCGCACGGTCGATCAACTCTCTCGAGGTCGCCGACGACCGATTGGCTGGGACAAAGTCTCGTCGACCGGAGCGGACTGAGGCAATAACAGCTGTGCGCGTCCATGCAGATACCGCACGACGAGGGTAGTGGCCATTGACGCGCTCGAGCAGCGTCAGAGCATGCTTGAAGAACCGGCGGTGAAGCAGGCTGCGAACAAGGCCGCCGACCTGAGTTGTGTCAAAGAAGCGCGGATTCCTCGTTTGTATTGCGGCAGTCGCAGCCGTGGCAATGTCCACGTAGGGTCGTCCAGCATTTAGAAGTTGGAAGAGTAGCCACGTGAAGCGCCCGCGCATATGCAGCGGTATGTCGGCCGTTTTCGCCGCTGCCTTCAAAGCTCCAGACAACGCCTCGATGGTCTGAGCGTCCGGCTTCTCGGCAGCATGGGCCAACGGCAACAGCACAGCACCAAGTGCTTGAAGTGCCTCTGCTTGTCTGTAGTCGCATAGAGGCAAGAGTGGAATCGCGAGGTTAGGTTCCTGGGCGTTCGCTAACGCTAACGCCAAAGGTGCGAGCGTCTGCCTAGGTAGATCAACGTGTACGCCCCAGCGCACACGTAAGTCTGATGCCAGCCTGGGTTCCACCCGAGCAAGACGCACAAGCGCAGCGCCGAGCAGTGATGGAACCCACTGTGGGAACGCAGCATAGTTCGGCACGCCGGCTATGATCTCCTCCCAGACAACATGACCACACAGTGCGCTCGCCGTGATGTACGCAGTGACCAGTGCCCGGACCTGCTCTCGCGCAGGGTCGTCACCGAAGTCGAATGCCCATATCCAAGATTTGTCGTGCGAAAGTTCGAGCATCCGATGAAGAAGGGCGGGGTCGCGCAGATGGCCGGCGAGCATGAAGAAGGATGCGAGTAGCGGACGGACGAGCGGCGAGTGCACCGTGATGTGCTCGCGCACGGACAGCGCCCATAAACGCCAGAGACGCTCGATGATGGGGCCCATTTCGGGTTGCAGTTGACCAGACGACGCAAGACGCTCGAAGACGGTGAGAAGGACGACGGCGCGGAGATCGACAGGGTGCAGGGACGCGTTGTCATGCCCTGAGATGCGGATGGATGAGACGGCCTGGGGTATCTGGGTAGTTGGCGTGGCGGCGAAGGCAAGGTAGGCGAGGTTCATCCAGCGCGTGGACGCGCCGAGCTTCGGGTCAAACATGATCTGTGCGAGATAGCGTGTCCAGTTCTTCACGACGATCTGCGATGGAGACTGGCCATCGAGTGCACGGTCTATTGGGAAGACATGACGGCATACGCGGAGTAAGAAGTCTTCGGCCTGCAAGGGTGGCGGTTTGTGAAACGAAGTGTCGATGCCATCGTCGTGTTCGCTCTCGGCGGCGGGAGCCGGAAGAGCTTGCGCCGTCTTCACTTCGAATAGACGAGCATGAGCGACACCAAGAAGACGGTTCTGGTTGGCCTCGGATAGAGTGTTGTCACGCAGGACTGTGTGCCAGAGCGCGTGTTGAAGGCTAGGTTGAACCAAGGTGTGTCGCCGGCCCAAAGCACATATCCAAGCAACCGCCTCGTTCGTGGCACCGTCCGTCTGAAGATTCAGAAGTCCCTCGATATACGACGCCAGACCGGACCCGGGATCATGCAGCTCTTTGAGGAATGCGCCGATACGTTGTGACCTTAGGTCATACAGACGCGACGAGACATCTATGGCAACTCGTCAGAAGAGCCCATATTCCATTCGATAGTGCAACTGACCAGGATCAACATATTCGACGGCAAGTCCTTGCCCCCTGGCTCTTGTCACAACCACCCAATACATATCTTCTGGGCTCAACTCTTTCACGCGCCGCTTGTCTCTCAACAACGTCTTGACAAACGACCAATCGAAATGACCCTGTCCCTTAATCTTCTCCGCGGCAGGGTGTGCATGCACCGACTGGGCATCTGCTGGAAACGCCAAGGTTCCATAAAAGCGTGCCAGCTCAGTATGGTCCAGCCGTTCGCTCCAGCGCAGTTGGCTGGCGGATCTTGTGTATATATGCCGGAAATCGTAGGCAGCGTCCAATGTGGGTGATTCGAGGAGTGCGCTAGCAAGTGATAGAAGGGATGGTGGAAGAAGGGCGCGACCCTTGGTCCCATTGGTAGCGCGCAAGGCAGAGAAATGCCAGGCCAAGTCCTCCGGAGTGAGGCCACCACCGGCGCGTTGATCCTGGATAAGAAGCCAGATGAAGGACCACCAGGGCCGTGAAGTGAGGTGTCGCATATGTGTCGCTAGTGGGTGCGGGTTCTCAAGTAGCTCGGTCATCTCGACGGGAAGGGACAGCGTCCCGTAGAGGGAGATTAATCCACTGCGCTCTTTGGGCGTCAAGAGCCTAGGGTCAAGGCGACATCGCATGTATAGCCGACGGAGCCTGGTGGCGGTCGGTTTTATTGGGTTGGAAGAGTGAATATTAGAGTTGGAGAGCAGGTGTCGTAGTTCGACCAAGGCCTTCTGGGATGCCGGTACAAGTTGATCGTCGATTGGCTGGAGCTCTGGAGCACCCAGAACGCGAATGTCGCCTCTGTCGGAAGCACCGGTAATCCCTATAGGTAGTGAAGGGTCGACAGCTGGCTCGGATGACATGTCCGCATCTTTCAGGGAGATATGTCCCTGTTGCGAAGACACGGAGGAACTAAGCCTGGGCTGTTCTGTCACGGTGCCGGGTAATTCAAGTGAGGAGATGCTATATGATAGAAGTGAGCACAAGGTAAGAGCGCTCGAATAAGCTAAACCGTACCATGAGCCAGAGGTTGCAAGGCCTTTATTATGGTACGCGGCACTGGTATCGCTAGAGCGAATTGAGTAAACGCGTAAAGTCAGCAGTATCACACGTACGACGCATGCCCCAAAGTGTGTATTATTCCACCCAAAGTACGGCGCGTAAGTAGACTCCATCGCAACATTCCATTGCCCAGCGCGTGCTTATTTGCTGGTGGGCACCGCGCTGGCGAATGGTGTCCCCGGTCGTCGTTCACGTCAAACGCGAACACGCGCGTCAGCGCGAACCGCGACTCGGCGCGCTCGGCCCGAGCGTCTTCCCACGTCGGCAACGGCCGGACTGTAAAGATGGCAAAACCGACGCGCGACCGACGGCTTTCTCTCAACCCTCACGCGCTTTCGCCAGTCGCCTTTAAATTCCTTTTGACACACAGTATGTGGCACAACGGCCAATTGCGATGAGATGGGGCTCATCTTGTGATGTAGAAGTCAATTGGGAGGCCCTGGACACATTTAAAAACTTCTGTATCACCTAGGTTTTCACTTTCCGTACGTGTTGTCTTTTCCGGTACAGTCATCGCGCGTCCTGACGGAGCGCGTAGCCTCAAAACTCGCAACAATGGGCGCTTCCCGTGCTGACAAGGAGAAGTACTTCGTGAAGCTCAAGGAGCTGATCGAGCAGTACCGTACGTATCATTCAGTAGATATCAACAAGGACTACTGTTCAAACTGGCTTCTTCAGCTTCCATCTTCTTGGTCAATGTCGACAACGTCGGCTCGAACCAGATGCACCAGATCCGTGTCTCGCTCCGTGGCAAGGGTGTCGTCCTGATGGGCAAGAACACCATGGTCCGCCGTGCTCTCCGCGGCATCATGTCCGAGAACCCGCAGCTCGAGCGTCTCCTCCCCCACGTCAAGGGCAACATCGGTTTCGTCTTCACCAAGGGCGACCTCCCCGAGATTCGTGACATGATCACCGCCAACCGTGTCGCTGCGCCCGCCCGTGCCGGTGCCTTCGCGCCCAAGGACGTCTACATCCCGGCTGGTAACACCGGTATGGAGCCCGGAAAGACGTCCTTCTTCCAGGCCCTCCAGATCCCGACCAAGATCGCCCGTGGTACGATTGAAATCGTCGCCGACATCAAGGTCGTCGAGGCTGGTTCGCGTGTCGGCCCGTCCGAGGCGACGCTTTTGAACATGCTCAACATCTCGCCGTTCACCTACGGTATGACCGTCGTCCAGATCTACGACGCCGGCAACGTCTTCTCGCCCGAAGTCCTCGACGTCTCCCAGGACGAGCTCATCAGCCGCTTCACTTCGGGTATCAAGCAGATTGCCGCCATCTCGCTCGCGATCAACTACCCGACCCTCGCCTCGGTCGCGCACTCGCTCGTCAACTCGTACAAGAACCTCATCGCTGTCGCTCTTGCCACCGAGTACACCTTCGAGGGTGCCGAGAAGGTAAGCGTCTTGACGTCTTGGGCTCGCGTGAGATGTAACAAAAATAACACACTGAAAATACTGAACGTCTTCGGGCGGTTGTTGACCGAATATTTCACCCTATTCACCTGATGCCTTCTTATCATGCACTTTGTATGAACTTTGTGCTGATCATGTTCCATAGATCAAGGAGATCCTCGCCAACCCCGAGGCCTTCGCCGCCGCTGCGGCCGCTGCTGCCCCCGCCGCCACTGAGGCTGCGCCCGAGGCTGCCGCTGAGGCCCCGGCTGAGGAGAAGGAGGAGTCTGACGACGACATGGGCTTCGGTCTCTTCGACTAAACGTCTCGCTCTGCTGCATGCTCACGATGCTTCTCTGTCCCACCTGTACCCCTGCTGTTGTTGTAACTTGCCACGAATGTAACTCTTCAATGGGGAACTGTGCACGCTAAACGTAGTGCGAACTAGCGCCGAAATCAGGCGGGCCGGTAATGAATGACGAGCCCTGCGAAGCCCTCGTATGTACTTTTCACGGCGAGATGTCGGTCCTCAGGCTCGTCAGGCGCGTGCAGTACTTCACAAGTTATCTTACACAAGTACAGCGCAAGACGTACGTTGACAAGGGTATGAACGAACGTGCGCCTACATGCGCCGACAACGAGCAATATGATGTACCCGGTACTTTTCCTTGCAGGATCCTGTCTCTATCGATAGCTATCTAGACCGCTACCGCGCGCGCAGTATAGTCACCCCGCGGGGCGAATACGCTGGGAACCGCTGAGAATCGTTGGGCCGCCGGGCCGACTTGCGGGCCTCCGCCGTACGCCGCAGCGAGTTCCAGGCGAGTTCGCATGGGCTTCCCCCAAAGAGCTCATGAAAACACGAGGGGTGTACACGTCAAACACAGCATCGGGCGCCATCTATGGCTGGGAGATCGAAGAAGAGTGACGGGAAAGGAAAGGATACAGATGATCAACAAACGTTGGTCTCTCGAGAGCTCGAGAAGCGCGACTGAGAAGCGCGGTTGGTTCCCTCGAGTCGGGTGTTAGTCGGCGGCGAGACGCGACCGGGAGCATACGGATCGCGTCGCAATCTTTCATGGCTTTCCTCGTTTGAGTATTCACTGCGCTTTTCGTAGGAGGCAAAATATTGTCTTGAGGTACAATGTTGGTAGCATGAGGCTTGGCGCGGTGCGGGGTAAAAACGGCTTGTCTAGAACGCGCGACGTGACGGATGACGCGCGGTGCCGCCGGGGCAGAAGAGGACCAGCAGTTGATGCCTGCCGGATTCTCGCATCTTCCTCATCTCTCCGGAGAACCATCGCGATAAACTCTACTGGCCAGCCGCCTGTATAATAGCGCATACGCAAAATGGGCGCACCCGAGGAACTCACGCCCACCATGTCTGACACGAGCCTTCCCGAGACTGGCGACGACCAGCACCTCATCGTCGTCTCCAATCGCCTGCCTATCACCATCTCCAAGGATGACAAGGGCGAGTACCACTTTAAGATGTCGTCCGGCGGTCTCGTGTCTGCTCTTGCGGGAGCAAAGAAGAGCATGAAGTTCACCTGGATCGGCTGGCCCGGCTTCTACGTCCCGCCCAAGGACCGCGCCACGCTTGACAAGCGCCTGCAGGAGGAGTACTCCTGCAGCGCCGTCTACCTCGACGACGACGTCGCCGACAAACACTACAACGGCTTCTCCAACTCCATTCTCTGGCCGCTCTTCCACTACCACCCCGGCGAGATGAACTTTGACGAGGAGCACTGGCTCGCATACCGTCAAGCGAACTACGCCTTCGCAGAGGCCGTACGCGCCCAGATCAGGCCAAACAGTATGGTTTGGGTACAGGACTACCATCTCATGCTTCTGCCCATGATCCTCCGCGGCCTCGTCACCGCCGAGAGCAGCACCGGCGAGTACACCCGCAACGAGCTCGCCAAGATCGCCGACGGTATCGACATCGAGGGCGATATCGCCAGTATGGGCGGTGACAAGACGATCGACAACGTTAAGATCGGCTTCTTCCTGCACACGCCTTTCCCCTCCTCGGAGATCTACAGGTGCGCTGTGCTTCTCAACTTCCCCGCGTAGACGCCCGAGCTGACATGTGAACAACTAGAATTCTCCCCGTGCGCCGCGAGATCCTCCTCGGTATCCTGTACTGCGACCTCATCGGCTTCCATACATACGACTATGCGCGCCATTTCCTCTCGTCGTGCACGCGTATCCTCTCGTTACCTACGATGCCGAACGGCGTCGAGTTCGAGGGGCGCCTCGTTCACGTCGGCACTTTCCCCATTGGAATCGACCCTTCTTCATTTACCAAGGCACGTCGACGATCGTTTGCGTAAACGAGCGCGCTCATCTGATCTTCTATCTTAGAACCTGGAGAAGGATAGCGTGAAGAAGCGCATCGCCGCGCTGGAGCAGCGTTTCAACGGCGTGAAGGTCATCGTCGGCGTTGACCGTCTCGACTACATCAAGGGTGTCCCGCAGAAGCTGCACGCGCTCGAGCTGTTCTTGACACAACATCCGGAATGGATCGGCAAGGTCGTGCTTGCGCAGCTCGCGGTGCCCTCGCGTCAGGACGTCGAGGAGTACCAGAACTTACGCGCTACGGTCAACGAGCTTGTTGGACGCATCAACGGTCGCTTCGGTACCGTCGAGTTCATGCCCATCCACTTCATGCACAAGAGCTTGCCGTTCGACGAGCTCTGCGCATTGTACGCCGTCTCCGATGTTTGCCTTGTCACGAGTACTCGTGACGGTATGAACCTTGTACGCTGTCTTCCACTCGGGTTCATAGCGAGTTGTGCTGACGCCCGATCAGGTCTCTTACGAGTACATCGCATGTCAGCAGGAGCGTCAGGGTGCCATGATCCTTTCCGAGTTCGCTGGCGCCGCACAATCACTCAACGGCTCGATCGTCGTCAACCCCTGGGACAGCCAACAAGTCGCCGACGCGATCCACGAGGCCGTCACGATGCCCGCAGAAGTGCGCGCAGAGAACCACGCCAAGCTGTACAAGTACGTGTGCAAGTACAGCGCGGCGTTCTGGGGCACGAGCTTCGTGAAGGAGATGCTGCGCATCAACCCCGGCACGGAGGCTGCTACGATCCGCGAGGAGAAGCAGATGGACAAGGTGCAGGAGATCGTCAGCCAACGTGAGGCTGTTTCTACGCCTGCTGTTGTGCACGCATGACGAGGCGTAGATGCCATTACGAGGACGAGGACTGCTGGGGGGCGTATTGGGAAGGGTACACTTTGGGGCTTTTCTGCGATTGCTTTGTTATTGTTGTTTCATGACATCTTGTAGACATATTCACGCGCGTTACATTACGGTTCCTCCTGTTGTATATCTAGACACATAAACGGCCGCTGTATACACATATCGAACGGACGACGGAATGCCAAATCGTTGGCTATCGAGTGAAGGGTCGATGATGCAGCAGTCGCATCCTCAAGATTGGATTGGTCGTATTGAGCGCACTGTGGTTCTACATGTAAGCATTGTACATTTCGAGCAAGATCTCTCTATTCATAGTCGGACTCATCGTCGGTGTCCAGATCAGAGCCGTCTGTATCAAATTCGTCCGACATTCCTGAACCACCCCACCTTTCCGAATCGATGCCAAAGTTCTGCTTTTCCACGATCTCTGCGGCCATCTCTTCCGGGTAGTCCATCATATGTGCCAACTCGTCCACCTTAGTATAGCCATGCCCGCGGCGTTTGACGGTGACGCCACGAGCAGCGCACACGTCGATGAACTTTGCCAGGGCACCTTCCGCGAACTCGCCGGCTCCTGCGGGTTCGCCATACTCGCCGCATACCATGATGTTCTTCAATGAAGGAAGTCCGGAGGTGATGGCGTCCTGAAGGGGGCCCAGATCCTTGACCTCATGAAGCACCAGATATTCGAGGGCAACAAAGCCGCGTGCAAGCGTCTGGGGGAGAAGGAGCGCCGGTTTGGCGTGCAATGTTCGTAGGCGCTTGAGACCGGGAAGAACGTTGTCGAGAGCGTATGGACGCGCCCCTGCTGCATCCTCATCCTCATCCTTGTCCGGTATTCCGAGTTGCAGGTACTCCAGGGTCTCCGCGTAGGCGCTGACTGTGGATTTGATCGTAGACGGCGATAGTTGCGAAGTGTTGATGAGGTGTAAGCATCGTAGATTGGGCGCGATGCGACAGAGCTCAGTTAATGCCCGATCGGTGATGCCGCTCAACCAGGCAAGTCGCTCCAGGCGAGGGCAGACTCCATCGGCAGGGGGATTACGAGACTTGGTCTTCTTGTTCTTCCAGGTTGTACTGCCGAACATGTCGCGATGAAGAAAGATTGTGCGCGCGTTGGGCCAGTTGCCGAGCATGTGGAAGAAGTCGCCCATGTTCTTCCAGAAGGGGTCGCATCTGCGGTCGTCCATGGAGCGTGCAAAGAGCTCGAGATGCTCGAGGGCCTTCGCACCGGCGACGGCTGACCGAAGCTTGGGGAGGCTATCGTCGTTCCATCCTTGGATGTGTAGGCGGCTGACGTGAGGACAAAGCGTGATGATCTCTGCGACGAGCTCGGTTCCCTCTGGAGAATACCCGTTAGGGGGAGCAAAGTTGATGGAGAGTACGAGGTCGGCGAGAAGTGGGTTGGCGACGAGTGTCTCTTTCAGTTGCTCAAGCGTCTCGTCTTGGGTTTTGTCCTCGTCTTCGTCGTCGTCGCGGTATAGGTAGAGATCAGAATACAACGCTAGACGCGCGGCTGGAAGCCAAGCCTTGCATACAACAGCAAAGTTTGGCAATTTTGAGTTCGGTTCGAGAGCGAACTCGTGCCATCGTCGCTTCGTGAGGCTGAAGATGTACTGGAGGACTTCGGTAGGAAGGTGGATGTAATTGATCTTGCTTCGCCTGTGACAGAGTGAGCACTTGTTATTAGATTTTGATAATCTACAAACGTACGCCATGTTTGATCACCCTGATGTGCAGGTGCCGAAAGGCGTTGATGTCGCAGGACGCAAAGGGCGTCTGGGGCAACAGGGCGCGACGCGACCTGACGCGCCGTTGCCTTAAACGCGGTCACGTGAGAATACATTTTACGTGCGGTAGGCGTAGACGATCGTAAGCAGGACCAGCAGCCTCGTTACGTGGCTCTTGGGGTCCGGAAGTCTACGCGGAGTGCTTTCTTTCCACATTACGCTCGCGTCATGCTTCATGGCATACTATTAGAGCACATTGAACCGATGCGATTTTACATGCTAAAAAGGTCGTGACAGGTGGAAACTGTACCCAGATCTTGGAAACCTATGCTTAGAGAATTTCAGCACATACGTTCTTATTACATTCATTACATCTCCCACCTCTCAATCCCAATTCTCGCCTTCACCCAGCGCTATCGACATTGGGATACCGTGCACCTTCCTCTCCGGTGTGTCGAGAGGTGAAGAGCCTGGTAACGGTAAGCATGTACCAACGTTATGGCAAGCTTTATCCGTGAGACTTACAGTTATCACTCTGCGTCTCTTTGCAGACATGAGTCAAAGCTAATAACTCAGCCCACAATGTCGTCCCCTTCAGCAAGTCCGTGTTTGAGAACTTGAGTAACCGAATAGGGGCCCCAAGATTTGATCGAGAGCGCAGTAGAAGCAGCAGCCTCTTCTTGAGTTCGTTCCAGTCGTTCACTAGCATCCACATGGGAAAGTCGAGCAGGCTGATCTCGGTCAAGGCGGGAAATGGGAGGGCGTGCTCATGTCGCGGCGTAAGGTCGTCGACTACCGCGGATATGAGGTCTATTCCTGCCACGCGAATGCGCTCGAGGGACGTCCAGCTATAGAAGTGGCGCTGTAGCATCGCGTGCGGGTCGATCACGTTATCCTTTGCTGAAGGAGACATGCGAAGCTCGTGGACTCCAACGCCCAATAACGATGCGAGACCGAAGAGTTCGACGTGTTCCGTGGCCAAGCAATCTCGCGCCTGCGCGCTCACTAATGTGGTGCAGCTCAACCTGACGGCAAACTCTGACACCGTCACGTTAGGCTCCGGACGGCTGAGGGTACTGATCGTCCATTCGAGCGCGAAGCTTCCATTCTTACTCTTCACTCCAGAGTGAGAGAAGTGGGCGCTCAGGGAGCGTCCGTGCAGCCAATATCCACCTCGTTGATAGTGTGATCGAAGGGCGGCAAGGCACTGTATGGAGTATAGGTTTTCACAGACCACTTCGGCCCACAGGTGGAAGCGGGCATCCACAGGAAGGCGAAGGAGACTGAGTATAGTCGCGATGACAGTGTCATGACCATTTTGAAGACTGATCTCCCGGCATCGAGGAAGCTCAATAATATCACCCCCGTGCATCAGCTCCGTCGTGCCGAAGTTTCGTAGGCGGAAAACTTCTAACTGGCTCATAGGACGTAGCACTTCGAGGATCGTAGAACAGGATCCGTTGCAGATATCAATGGAAAGGAGGCGTAGATTGTGCAGGGAGGGGTTATGGATAACCGCGGCGCCGTACACGTAGCCGGTAATACGCAGTTCGCGCAAATTCGACGGCTTAAGGATCTCGAGGGGCTCGGGAAAGTCCTGGGTGTCCATGACCCCTTGAACAGTCAAGCTTCGGAGACGACTCAATGGGTGCCTGGCTATGACGTTTCGTAAGGCCACGAGTCCCGAATGGTCCACAACCAGAGTTTTGATACGGGGATGCGCCCGCTCAATCACGGATGCTTTGGACATGCCAGCCTGTCCATTGATCCAAAGCTCGATCCTTGGAGAGAGTACGTCCAGCATGTTCTGCTGGCTATTCTTCAAGAACATCTCGATAAAGTTGTCGTTAAGCGCATCACAGTCGATAGAAGTCCATAGACTCGGGGCTGAAAGCGCGATAGTTCGCCACGACCCACAGACGTGTGTTATAGTGACCCATCCGAGACGGCGAAGGTGGCATGTTGCACAATGAGCTATAGTCGTGCTGGATGGTGATTGGTCGGCTATATCATCTCGGTCAGTCGCAGGACAGTGCGTGAAGAATTGCGACGTACACGCCGCCTCTGGCGTTATGACAGAGCCGTATGCTGCGTCCGGCTGCACTGCTGGAGGTCCTGACGGGTAATTGTATGCGTATCCGTACGGCCTACTGGCCTCTGCGCCTTGTGCATGCGTGCATCGTGTTCTGAGGGATGACCGTGTCTCGGGAGGTTGCTCGATGACAAGGACCTGGAAGATGGCGAGAAGAAGCTCCGGTGGTAAGGTAATGGGCATGCTCCTGAAGGTGTTTGAATTGCAGAGAGCGTGCGTGGCTGCACTCAGATGAGGGGTATTGCGAGTATACGCTTCGCTGACAGGATTAGCGACCCAAATGAGGGCAAAGGGCAAGGGTTCGCGTCGTTCAGTTGCACGCGAAAGCAGCCACACGATCACACGCCTGCACGGCCACGTGAGTTCATTTGTGCGAGTGTGACAGTACAATGGTGTTCTTTTCCCTTGTGCGACTAAATTTACATAGGATGAAGCCCGCGTATCTCTGTATTGGCTACTTCACTGAGTTCTGACCGCCATCCCTCTTTCTGTAGCACCTTCGCATCACCGCTCATCTCTATCCTCTGTAGGGGGTGACCCGCCGCACGCCGTTCGCGAGCGACTCGAGCGAGTTTCGCGCCCAAACATTCCGAACTGATCAACGCCGCGGACGTCCAGTCTTCAACGTACACCCCCGAGAACGCGAGCTCCGATAACTGAGGGAACAGTGGAGTCCTCTCCGTGTGCGGCGAAAGCTCATCAAGCGCTCGAGATGCAACGTTGACGCCCGTCACTCGAACGCGTTTTACAGATGTCCAGGACTTGAAGTGATGATGCACATAGTCCGGAGTATATATCGCAGCACCGGTGGGCGGGGATATGAGGTGTACTTCTTGTATGTTGGACCCGATCGCGCCTGCGAGCCCAAAGAAGTCATCGCCATGCTTAGCGAGAGAGCTTCGTGCGGTGCTGTCGTATGCCGTCCATCCGATCTCCACCTCCAAATCCGCCAGACCGGAGGCCGGGGTATCGTCGTGCTCCGTGTCGTGGTGAAAGGCACATAACCTCCATCTTGTTTTGACAAAGCTAGGGAAGAAGATATTGTTGCTTCCTGGGATTGGTGCCGATGCGTGCTCGAATGACGCGCGCAAGTATGACACAGAGTCTCTTCTTTTCCCTTCATCCAGAAAACCGTGAAGAGCAGTGATCGCCAAAGGCGTGCACACGATCTCTCCGAGTTCTCGTAGCGAGGCGTGTACTCGCAGGCGGACATCGGTCCGGAGGCGCAAAACACCTAATACTGTCGCAACAGCCTCGTCCTCCCCTTCGAGATCGACTTCCGTGCAGGTTGCGAGCTCGACGTCCTTCATCGATTTTGTGACCGCGATTGATTCCCCGTCTCGTAAGCCATGTAAGCGGAGGATCTCTAAGGAATCGATGGCCTGCACGGCGACAAAGAGATTCTCGGTCAAGTAGCCCGGCATACCCACGTCGATCTCCAAGACCCGTAGTTGAGCGAGTCGAGGTATGACACTTCGCCACGCTATGTTTTGCACCCTCATGAAGACCGACAGCTCTCGCAGAGCTGTTGACTGGACGATTGTGAGAGGGTCCAAGATGTTCGCAGCGGATTGATCGGCGTCGCATTCCATTTCCAGACGTCGTAGGTTGCAGAGCGGCGATTGCGCGAATGCGGTCCGCGACGCATGCATCATGCTCAACGGGGCTACCAGTTCTGTGACGCGTAAGCGCGCAGATGCGAGGATATGCATCAGGACATCGAGCTGGTGCGAGGACATGTTGCTGACGAATCCATCCCACAAGAGGCGCAAATTCGACTCGTGGCTTCTCGCGAGGAAAACGTCCGCCACTCCAGTTGACATATTGTTGGTAAGGGTCGTCCACAGGCCAGGCGTCGCGATGGCCGTATCCCTCCAACGCCGACATACGTGTAAGGCGTTGATCCAGCCAAGGTAGGAGATGCGGCAGCGCGCACAAGTCCCGATCGTCATCCGCAGGGGATATTGCCCATGTCCTGAGCATTTTGAGATCGCCGTGCTGAGAGCAGGTTGCTCGATAGCCACGAGCTGAAATATCATAGCCAGTATTTCAGGAGGAAGATTATCCATGGTAGATTGTGATTGGGCAATGCAAGCACTGGATAGAAAGTCTGACCGGTGGTGGTGGTCCGAAAACAAGCGGCGCGGCGCGCACGGCGGCGCCAATTTTCCACGCCGGTAACTTCAAGTCGTATACGGTTCGTACGAGCTCGCTGTAATGTTAGCGAATGAGCACTTAAGCTCAAATTCTTTCGAGGACCATCTTTCAGTCGGCATCTTGGTGAATATGAGCTCGGCGACTCGTATCTAGCCGTGGTACTGACTGATAACCCGTCACGATCCTACGGGAATTTTTGCGATGGACAGGACTGACGGCGCTGGATGAAAAGGACGCAGCCGATCACAGTAAACCAGTATGCTTGGTGGACTCAAAAGACGGCATGAGTGAGCATAACTCCGATTCTCATACATTAGCTCAAGCATTGGGTAGAGTAGTAAGATGAATGGACCGGATGAGTGGCGCCAGGAGTGTGGCCGCAGTTGCCACGTCCTGCCACGTTCTCGCCATCAAGCATCAACTACACCAAGTCCGATCTGCCATCCAAACATCCACCCTGTCCTCTCTCTCACCATGGCGCGCTCAGGATCCAGCAAGGCGAAAGCTCAAACGGCCGTACCGCCTCGGCGGCCACCCCCACGCAAGAAGCGGCCCGCAACGCCGCTCGTGGCAGCCGGCGTGCTCGCAGTCGCGCTCGCGGCGGTCTACACCTATTCTTCCTCGCCATCCCTCCGCGCACGCTTGCATCCTTCCAAGCCTCCCAAAGTGCACCACTCAGAGGATGACGGGCCGAGGTTCCGTCATCTTCCGGTGCATGCTGCAGCGGGTTCTCGCCGTACGCGCCTAGTAGCCGTAGGCGATCTACACGGCGACCTTCCTAATGCTCGCCAGGTGCTGCATATGGCCGGCGTGACAGATGAGGCAGGGAACTGGAGTGGAGGCGCGGATGTGTTTGTACAGACAGGAGATATTGTGGATCGCGGAGACGATACTATCGCGCTATATGGGTGGATGGAGGACTTGAGGGTACAAGCGGAGGCTGTCGGGGGGAGGGTATTGAGCCATTTGGGAAATCACGAAGTCATGAATGCG